TTTGTATTGATTATCTTTTTGATTCTAATTTTTACTTTTTGATAACTCTGTTTCTAACACTGCATCTATTATATATGTATATTCAAACTGACTATTATAACTATTCTGACTCATTCTGACGCATTCTTCTCAATATATTGCGAAACATAACTGTATGGCCTTGTCGGTGAGTTTTTTTTATCAGAGTAACGATTTATTTGTCTTTATTATCATAAGTTATTGTAACAAATTTATACTTTCTACAATTTATATATTTTTTTATTTTGATTTTTATCGAGTAATTACCATCAATCGTTCGTGGGTAATTCTGTTTCTCTATAAGGCGATGAGTCATCAGCCCTCATCTAACATATCATCTACAAGTATAATTTTCTATCACCGCATTCCCCGTTTTACAACATTTCTGCGTTTATTTGAATATCTTAAAATGGCTCAATATTATAGTCAAAACATGTAATATGAAGAATTATATTTTTCAAATATAAATGTAAATTATATAGACGACTTTTTACCTCTAGGAGGAGGAATAGGTGGTTTTGGTTGCACAGATTTTTTTGCAATGTTATTTTCAGACAATTCAGACTCAGATGTAGGTTGCACGGTGATATCGTTATTTTGTGGAGTCAATATTAACGGTGGAAAACCAGGTGGAACAGGAAGTTCCTCCAACGGAACTGTCTTTCCATGCGTATATAACTTTATAGCATCCTCAAATTGTTTGCAAATTCTACCATATCTCCGAGCTTTAGATGTGTTACCCTCATCTTCAGCAGCTACTTTTGTTCTTCTATATACCTCGAGACGCTCTTTGAGAGCTCCTTCTATATTCTCAGGGTTGCAATTTGCTGGACCAGCTTTTAACACAATAATTTATATTCACATTATTACATTTTTCTTTTTTTTTTCTTTTTTTCTTATCAACACTTGAATATTATGTATAGTTTTCTGTTGTGTATCATAAATACGAATTTATATATACAGAGTGTACCAGACCTCACATTACCTTTTCTTCTTAAAAATGAATAGTGGAAACTGGGAAAAAAATTTTCATTATCAAAACTTATCTAAACTATCTCTAATATTAACATTTTAATTTTCTGGAAGCCATCAAAAGTAGGACAAACCTAAAGACTGAAATTTAAAATAAGAACATAGGTTGAACAGGATATCATTGAATAAATCTGTTAAGGAGATTCCATAGCAGAGAGAGAGAGGGGGGGGGGAGAGGAAGAGGAAGAGAGGGGGGAGAGCTAGCCTAAACTTTGATGAAATCGCTGTTTTAGAGTTTTATTAATAAAAACGACACATTGACATATCGCTATATACTACTAATCAATATCTCACGCACACATATACATGAATTTTCGTAGAAAAACAGAGTTTTAATTAGACATCTAAGTCTAATTCTTAGAATTCCACGTTGTTTGTTCATGTAAACTACTGGTCTGTGGATCACAATTTCGTAAGTACAGATTACAAAGCTTTTATATAAAGCAAATATCACGATGGTGGGAGCTTTAAATGCCACATTGGATTAAGAAATGATAAGGGTCTCAATTTAAAAAATTGTATTTGTTCTCGACATAAACTCCGCTTCACAGACACGTATTAAGGGGATGCTGGAGGGACCCTATTATCGACATTGCAGTTTGATCAAAATCTCCAAATTGACTAAATGGAATAAAAAATCCACTACACCACGTCAGAATATTGCATTTACTTTAATCCTGTAAAAGGATTTTTTATTCCATTTAGTCAATTCGGAAATTTTGATCAAACTGCAATGTCGATAATTGGGTTTTGTGTGGGTGTGTGTGTGTGTATGTGCGCGTGCGTGTGTCATAACGTTAACAAATGTATGACAAATTTGAAAAAATTTTACAATCTATGAAGAATGTGTACATCTTACCTGGAGCACCTTGCTGTTGAAGTTCATTTTCTTCTTTTGCAGCTGGTGTTGCAGTACTAGTTGGAGAAGGTAAAATTGGGGTAGGTGGCATATCTGACAAATCAAGCTTTTCACCTTCAATGACTGCAGCAATAACTATATCAAACTGTTTTACAATTTTTACATACTGTAACGCTTGCTCTTTGTTACCCGCCCTCTTCCAAGCAACTGCTGCAGTCTTATATTTTTGTTGCTGTTCTTTTAATTTATCCAAAGCTTCTTGATCAACTGTGACATCTTCTACTGCAGGAGGATTATCATTATTTGAGGTATCTGATGTTACAATTGTTTCATTAACTTTCACTGGCGATGATGTTTTTTCTTCTGCAATAAAAACAAAGTATACATGGAATAAAAGCCAATATCGCAAATTTCCAATATCTAGAAAATTACAATAATAAATAGAATACATTTAGCCAGGAATTAAAATACTAAAATACAAAGTTATATATTTAATCTTCTCATCAAAATTTTTTTCACATGCAAACTCGTAGGTTTTTTAATTTATTGATTGCTCCATTCCATAAAAGCTGCATTTATGTATAATCGATCAATCGATGAATTAAAAAACTTATCTATACATCATACAAAAATTTTCTTGTTTAAAGTAAAATATAAGATTAATTACAGATAATCAACAAATTTACAGGTAAAAAAAATCTGAGACAGTATACATAAAAAAATATGTACTACCTATATTTTGAACAGTAGATTCAGTGGTAGCTGAAGGAGGCAAAGCTGGAGGAATGTCAGCTTCGTTTACACTTTCACCCGATTGTACGGAAACCAACATTTCTTTCAATGTTTTTATACCTCTGTTATATCTTCTAGCTCTACTAGTTTCATCGTTTCTTTTTGCCTTCTCCTCAGCTATCTCATAAGTTTTTAGCCTTTCTTGCAATAATTCGATTAGTTTTGGTATAGAATTATCTTCCTCTTTAATTTCATGTTCATCAGATTCTGCTTGTTCTTCTTTCACTAATTCTGGCATATCTGCCTTTTCTGTCACAATTTTATTTCCTGTGAGCGTCTGTAACTCTCTCTAAACCAATGAAAAATTTCAGTGTAATCAATCATACTATACCGATAGTAATATATTATTAAGCAATATATATTACTGTACCAATAATGCAGGATCGTCATCTCCTTCAGTCGGTTCTTCATCAGAATTTGTATCCTTTAAGCAATTAGCTACCATTTCATCCAAATTTACATCAGCAGCATTTTTGCGTGTAGCTATAACATTTATCAAAATAATAATTATAATAAAATATAGCTACAACATTTGTATATAGGTTCAGAAGTTCTGTGGTATTTTATTAGCTTAAAATTGTATATATACAATATCTTTGTCAAAAATGAATGAAATTTAAATTTAAAAAATTTTTATAAAAAAAAACTGTTCTATAAAATTTAAGTTATGGACTTTTGTGCCATACAACCTAAAGTGACAGATTGAAGATACATTAATGTTCACCATCGGGTGACACCGCGCAAAAAAAAGAAAAGAGATAACAGATTAATAGAATAAACTATATATTATAAATTTATGAAAATTCTTATTCTATTATGTATATTTCTGTAATATAAAATACAAAATTTGTAAAGCCAACTTACCACTGCGTCTGCTTTTATAACTTGTATCATTACCAGCAGCCAAAGCAGCTAATTCAACTTCTAAACTTTCATCATCATCATCGTCATCTTCCATGTTATTATTGATACTGCCAATATTTATATCAGGTACTTCAAAAATGCCATACTATATAAAATATGACCATTATGCAATATTATGACCATATTATAAAAAAGAGAAACATTTTATTACAAAATATCTAATAAAAATCAAAGGTATGTACAAACAAACGTACAGAATAAAGATATACCAAATTTATATATTTTAACTACAAATATATACTACTAATCCATTATAATTCACAATAATCATAATCCAAAATGCAAGAGGCTGATTCTACAGTGAGTCGGGGTAGTCAGAAATCTTCCTAGGATTTTCCATTCTACAATGAATGAAAAATCCTAGGAAGCGTTCTTAATCGATTTTCTACAATGAGCCATTATTTAAGCTTTAAGTCTTAAGCCATAAGAAACTGATCAATTATAGTCAAATGTGAGAAGAATAATCAACTACAATTAGTCATTTTCTTATCACCTAAGATTTAAAGATTAGATAATGATTTGTTGCAGAAAGCCCATTAACTAGTTTTAATCTAAATTATAATTTTTCGTATCTACAAGTTGTACGTACAACGAGTCATTTAGCTCGACTAATGGAAAGGAATAAAATCAAATTTAGCCAGTCTTAAGAAAATCGGTAGTCTTGGTTGTGCAAATTGGCTATTAGCTGACTTCACCAATTAAGATTTAGGACCGTTTAGAACTTCTCACGACCGATTGGCGATTATAGAACTTATTATAGAACCCCAATTAGGACTATCGACTACTGACTCATTGTAGAGATATCGGCATGTGTGTGATACACAATTTACCAAAAAGAATAAAACAATATACCTGTTCTAAACTACCAACTGGTCTAGGTTGTCTTGGTTCTTTTTTCTTGCCAAACATTTTAACTCATTAATCGCAATGATGCAAATATTTACCGATATTAGCAGAAATCAATCAATCAAAAAGAGAATTGAGTAGAATAATTCCACATTGTAAGGAATGCAAGACAATGGGTAAGGTCCTGCGCACAAAGGCTGCGTTCAGCAGAACCACAGATTATATATACTACTAGACTGCCAACTCCTTAGTACAAACGGATAAGTTTACTGCTATTTCTATTTCCGTTAGATTACGCGATTGGAAAGCAGCCTATATGTATATATAGCAGGGTGAATCCAGCATATAAGCGGTCAGTGAGTGCTCTTTCATTTAATTGGTACGTTCCATTGGATCCTGAAATATAGATCAGACCAATGAGATGAAAGAGCTGAGTGAGGACTCAGGGAGCGGTTGAAGCGCGGTTGTCGTTCTGAACCGAATGCACCCACTGTGAGAGCACGTAACGAGCGGATGTAGTAGGCGCGACTATCGCTAATCTATCCGTAAAGAAGAGTACGACGTGACGTAAACGACGGATCCAAACAAGTATCAGCTGTGTTGCAGTCATTGTTCTCTGACTCGTATCGGTTTTGGCAGACAGATCCCGTTTCCTTTGACATTCGTCATCGAGACTCGCGGAAACGGTGGGAATAGCGACGGTGACTAGTCCGCGGCAAAGGACACGCGAGGAAGTGCGAGGAACACTTATAAAATCCGACGCGACAAGTGGTGAGGAGAGAAAAAACGGGGGAAAGGCTCTTTTTTCCGTTCCTCACGCAATCGTGGCTGCGCGCGTGCTTCTATCCTGGCCCCAGTCTTAGTCCGTGCCGCTATTCGCCAACGGTTCTCCCGTGGGACAATAATAGTGTGAAAAACGGGGCGGTACGCGCATAAGCCTGGCCTCGAGCAGCGAGTCGGACGACGGTGGACTCGCTCCGCCACCGCGCAAAAGGTCCCGTAGTTCTGTACCGACTACCCTAAGACCAGCGGACGAGCACCACTCCTCCAGTCCGGACATGGATAATTATCGGTAATCTGTCTTTTTTTTCCACCACTTTTCTGCGCGTAAGCACGTCAAAGTCCAATTTAAATAAAATAGAAATTCGGGAGTACTCCGAAACATATTTTTATCACTTTTTGTTTTAATTTTCTTTCCAGAACTTTTTTTTAATATCATTTCTTTAATATAAAATCAGTGCTGAATTATACTTTTTCTTTTGTTAACAATTGCTTTTGTTAACAAGCAACTTATGGTGCTTTTTATATAAACTTCTCAGGATTATAGAAAATCTTGAGAAAATTTAATTTCCAATTCTATACAAATATATAAGATATACTAATTGATATGCCCTCAAGTGAATACGGTAATATACTGGTATTGCCATTGTGGGTAACATTCCAGTATGCATGACAGCGTAATGCAACAGCAGGCCTCAAACGGTGGTGTATCTTCTGGGCTGCAACAAAATGGTGCTAAGGCAGATTCTGGTGGGCCTCATGCTAATGGCAATCTATTACCAGAATCAGATAATGACATTAATGGTGTGAATGGAGATATAAATCAGAGTTTGGGACCACCAAAAATAATGGATAAAACTAATCAAGACATTGTGAGACTTATTGGACAACATTTAAAGACAGTTGGTTTGGAGTATGTAACTTATAATTAATTCTCACTATTTTCAGATCAGAGACTTTTCAGATCAGTTAAGAGACTTTAGTCTAAAAGTAAAAAAGTAGTTTATTCAATTTAATTATTTTTAAATATATTTGTCTTTTTTTATAGCATAAATTACAAATGTGCATGTATACACATACATACGCACATGTATGTGTACTCGCATGTCATGTATATACGTATGCACACTCTTTGTGCAATGATCATTTTACCAAAATAACATTAAATAATCAATTTTTTATTTTTATTAATTCAAATTTATCAAGAGAATTATATGAATTGTATTTGTATGATAGAAAGTAATTTTAATGTACTTTGAGATACGGATATATGTCTGTCAGTTATACATATTTACATTTTATAATATAGGATAACTTAAGAGAGCATTAAAAGATTTTTATCTTTCATATAAGTATGATAAATGATTTAAGTTTAAATAAAATTATAATTATGTCCTTAAATTACTTTAATGATAAGAATTAATAAATTATATATATATATATATGTGTGTGTGTGTGTGTGTGCGTGTGTGTGTGCGTGTATACACAGAATGTTTAGTAAACCGTAACAATGCTTAAGAATAAATTCCTGAGATCATTTTGAGATGAAAATTCTAATACCAAAATGTCGAGGCTTTAATAGTTTTTGAATTATAAGCAGTTATCGAATCATACCGCCTAAAGATAATTCACACGTTCAGATAAAACGGAAAATCCAACTGTATCTAAGTGCACGAACTGTAGGTGGTATTCGCTAACTTTAAGTGTTTATAATTCAAGAACTTATATCCTTGACACTTTGGTGTCAAAATTTTCGTCTCAATATGATTTCAGAAATCTGCCCTTAAGGGTTGTTATGATTTTTACAAAACATCCTGTATATTATTGTTCAATAACTTTGGCAGGTAAAATATTTATATTTATTTTAGTATAAATACTCATGTCTGTACATTTATTAATACAAATTTTTAAAAGATCTTACATAAATTTTTAATAAGATTAAATATGAAAATCATAATTTATGATTAACGAGTAACAAAAGATATTATTTTTAGTCGCACAGCAGATTTGCTTATGCAAGAATCAGGCTGTCGTCTAGATCATCCCGCTGCTGCAAAATTTAGGCAGCATGTTATGGATGGCGATTGGAACAAAGCAGACCACGACCTCAATGAACTGAAGTCTTTTTTAGATAGTGCAAACCAGAGTTTAGTGGTAAATCTTTTTTCTCGTATAATTGATGATTGTTCTTATAGATTGTATGTAAATATTTGTTATGTATCTTTTATTATTTTTATTATATATAGTGTATAATAAATATATTAATTTTTTATTATATATATTTTTTATTAGTTTTTTGTTATATGTATACATGTATATTTATCACATACAAGATAAAAATATATACATTTTTTGCCATGTGTATGTATATGTGCGAAATGTTCGTATTCGCGCGCGCGTATGCGTATAGATCGTCTAAGGTAACTGGTAGTGAAAATTATATTTGTACAGTTTGACATTTAAATTAACAGTCAGATGTAAACATTAATATTGCTCAAATACGATAGTAAAATGTAAACAAAATTTGATGGCAATTTAATGAAGAGTCACTACAAAAATATACCATTTAAAAAAAAAAAAGACTTATTAGTACAATAAAATGCTCTTTGAAAAATAGAATTATTTTTAAATTTTAATTAATACATAAATATATAGCTTCGTTTCCTTTGATAACTTTTAATACAATTTGACCAACCTTGGACAAAATATTGTAGAATATTGATGTTCCAAAGTTCCAAAATTTGTTGCATATATACATACACACAGAAAATACTGTTGAAATATATTTAAATACTTAAATACTAAATAATGATAAGAAGAAAGATAACGCAATTTTAAAAAGCTAGGAAGATTTGCAGACAAACTTTTAGTAAAACATTAGATTGACAATTCGATCAACATCTTTTTCTTATCCGTAGGAGATGAAATTCTTATTGCTAGAACAAAAATATTTAGAATATTTAGAAGAAGGCATGGTGTTTGATGCGTTACATGTACTGCGCAATGAGCTTACACCCTTGGGGCATAATACCGGTCGTATTCACCAGTTATCTTTATTTATGATGTGCACTGGACGAGATGAATTACAGGTATTCCATATGTTTGATTTAAATAATGAACATAGATTTCGTATGGCATTTTATTGATTTAGGTCGTGTACTAATAAGTTCCTACAACAACTGAAGCTTTCTCATTCTTAAAATATAGTTGAAACTAATTTATAACTGAAAATTTGGTCACTAGCAAATGGACACTTGTTGACAGACACGCGCAGGTTGGGATGGCAAAGGAGCAGCCTCCAGGGCTGCACTTATGGACAGACTGCAAAGATTTCTGCCACCCTCCATTATGTTACCGCCACGCAGACTTCATTCTTTACTTTGTCAAGCTGTGGAAATGCAAAATCAACTCTGCACGTATCATATAACGCATTCGCAGGTATATGTTAATAAATTAAATTGCGATTTGAATCGCAAACTATGCTCTATCTCTTGTAATATTACTTTTTATTTTTATATTTTGTAACTATAAGAAAATAGAGCTAGAGAATTTAGATTGTTTTGTAACTATCTTTCCGAGAATTTCTTTCAATTTTTTTCATGTGTGCGTGCGTGCGTGCGTGCATGCTTGTGTGTATACACATACACAAAGTGTCCCAGAAAGAGTGTGAATCCTTTCACTAGCAGATTTTGTGGAATATTCTAAGATAAGACGAAGATACAAAATATCTCAAGATTATAATATTTTTTAAATTATAAACGATTAAAGTTCGCCAATTGTAGTGTCTGAAATTCGTGCATTCAGTCAGGGCACATCGCGCGTGTGGTAGCGAAAGTGCCTTTGTACACTAACTCGCTTTTAAATATTGACATAATTAATACGCTTACTAATCTAACTGCTGAAATTTCTATTTTAAAGCGTTAATGATGTTATAGTGTGACTACTTTCTATGCCGAAAATCCCAGCGTTCAAATCCACCCAGAACACAAAAGTTTGATTTGATTGCCACCCCTCGGAAGGCAATGGCAAACCATCGAGAGTATATTTACCACCGCCGTTCGGATCCGGTGTTAAAAACTGTAGGTCTCATATATCAATAGATATATCAATAGATGCATCGATTCCCTAAGTTGGAGATTCGACATTAGGTTAACGACCTAATTCCGGAAAAATTATTGTTTTGGAATCTCATCTCCAGAGAAGATCGAGTTCGATTTGGACCGTAGTGCCATTGAATGAAATGATGTTATAGTTAACAGTGCTTTAAAACAGCAATGTTACAATGATTATGTAGAGTTCTTCTACATTGATAATTTCATGAAAAGGTTGAATATATGAAATTCGGTAAAAAAACAAATAATCCAAAAAAATGTCACATATTAATTCAATTTTAACGTAATTATACATAATAAATTGTTGATACATGTCTATTCAGCAATTGCAACACAATATCAAAAGATAAGAGAAATAGTATTAATTGCATAAGCTATGTGAAGAAAATGTATACACTTACAAAATTCATAAAATTAAACATACCTACCATTCTTTCAGAAATAAGAGATATTCTTCGATTTCTTGAATATTTTATTTAGGTAAAGAAATAGATAGTTAAAAGTGTGTATACCTTTTTCACATGGTCGATCAGGAATCGACGATTCCTGATCGAAATAAAACGATTCCGAATCGTTTTATTTCTACATTTCCTTATGTTCGAAAAATCGAAAATTATCATAACGATCCTACACTCAAGAAAAAAATTGGTACATTGAAATAAAGTTAATAAAATCCTTATTCACATCGTTACGGAAGCTATTAGTTTTTAAATTATTAAAGCATAACTGACAGCAATTTTATAACGATGTGAATAAAGGATTTTATTCTTTATGTTCCCTTCATGTTTATATGGAAAACTGATTGCTCCACGTGATTCTGCAGCCCAAAAACTATAAAGAAACATACACATTTCACTTCCTGGTTGGGGGCAAAAATTTTATCCGTTCTGCTTAAAGCCTGTTTTACAATGTGCTTTTTGTTTCCTGTTTCTTGCATTTTGCTATTGTTTACATCTTGTCTTTTTACTTCTTATCCGGTTTTTTGTTTTATATCGCCCGAGATAAAAGTTAACTTCGAAAGGAACAAGAAATACATAGCAAGAAATACAATTATCGATGAAATGGTTGCAGAGGAGAAAAAAGCAAAAGGTAAAAAAACAAGAAACAGGAAACAAAGAGCACATTATAGAATAGACTTTAGGAGAACAAAATATGATGCATGTAACAAATTTTTTTGTATCATGTGTTTTTTATAAAATATATACGCAACTTCATCGATACTTTTTGTTTAAAAGTATCGTGTTATGTAAAAAAAGCAGCGAATTTTCTTCCATAACATTTTTTTCCTACTATCGTGCGCAAAGTTCGATTTTGCACACGCATTTGCGTGCGCAAAGTATCACTTTCCCGCACGCTAAACTACAAGTGTGGGAAAGTGATACTTTGCGCAAATGCGTGTGCAAAATCGAACTTTGAGCACGATAGTAGGAAAAATAGTATACGATACTCGTGCGCTGCGTAGGTGTTCCCACACTCGCTTTTTTGTCACCCTCGCTTCGCTCGGGCGACAAACTTCGCTCGTGTGGGAAACACCGACTTTGCGCACTTGTATCGTAATGTACTACTTTTTATTTTGCATGTTAAAGTATTAAAATAATATATCTTGTTGAAGTTCTGTTAGTTATTAAAAAATAAATATTTTACTTCAATGCTGATATTTTGAGATATCTTATAAAACATTAATTTTTTGATTGTATATATTCTCTTATAACTGCGAAATTTTTGCTATATAATAAGATATATATGCAAAAAAATTTTTTATAAAACCTTTCTCATTTTTCGAAGTTGTAGATGTACATATGACTTTTAAATTGAGATTCTGTGCAATACAAAGACATCTGTGAAAGCGATTTATTTTATTGTTATTATTATTATACACATAACGAATAAGTATATGTACTTTTCCTGTTAAAATTATTCTCGATAATGTCTCATGCAATGTTTCATAATAAAATGATTTTTCTTGTAAAGCAGACAAATCTAGAAAATGTCTCTCTACTTGTGGATCATAATTGTGGCGAGGAACAATTTCCGTGCCATACCATACAGGTACTCAACGATCACTGCGACGAAGTTTGGTATTGCAAATTCTCACCCGATGGTCTCAAGCTCGCCACAGGTTCTAAAGATATGACTGTAATTATATGGGATGTAGATCCAGTGAGTATACATACATAATACTGTATGCGCGTTAACAGTGTGTGTATATTGTATTCTCTTGAAAAAAAAAAAATTTTTTGTGAATTTTTTGATCAACTTTGACACGATTTTTTTTCAAAAAAACTTAAATATCTAAATTTTTGAATAACAAAAGATTGAAAACAAAAAATTTTCTAAGAATAAATTTTAAAAAGAATAAACGAATAATAAACTATTTTGAGCCATTTTTAGGCTCATACATACAAGTTTTTTCTAATAAATAAACTTGTTGCTATCGATTCCAATTCTTTAATCCCAACAATTCGCTGCAAAGTTTATCAGTACACAACACACACACACACACACACACACACACACACACACACACACACATTGTTTCATAGTTTATTATAATACATTATAATATTATTCAACTTCCTAGCTATAGAAAATAATAAATAAATAAATTTTTTTTTTTAAATGAATATAAGTATTTTTTTAAGCAATGTATTTATTAAATAAGGCCCACTGTAATTATTATGTAATTATTATTATGACTATTGTTATTTGTTTGTTATGTGTAGCTTATACCAGAGAATAATGGTGCGGCCACAATAAAAGGAATAAGGAATTAGGAATAAGAAATAAGATTCCAACCTATCAGAAACCGTGTATTCCGGTGTATCCGATATCTGATAGGCTGAAATCTTTATTCCTTATTCCTAATTCCTTATTCCTTCTATTGTGGCTGCACCTTAACGATTTTTATAATGCTGCTATTTTTTAAGAAGTTAAAATTGTATTCAAATTGCTAGAAATTTCTAAAGTATTAGAGTTAATTACAGACAATATTAAAGATAATCGTAATGTTTGATAGTAGAGTAAGTCCTAAGGAATTTCTTTTTCATGATTAATAATCATTTTAAAACTGATTTGGAAAGATAATATTTATTGTTTTTATTATTTCTAATTAATTTTTTATTTGGGCTTTATTATATTCATGCGTATAATAACGCCCAATGTCAGAGTTAAAAAAAAATTTTTTTTTATTCATTTACAACTATTCTATATAAACAATATATTTTATTTTTGTAAGTAAATGAAAGAAAGATTTGATTCTCCACTTAGTTTATTTCAATATTCCCACATAAATAGAATTTTTTAAATATGAAATTAATTAGGTGAGTCTTATTCGAATACTTTATTCATTATTTTTTAGACAATTTCAAGACTTTGATTTCACTTTGATAGAAATTTGAGATTTAGTTGATACATAATAATATATAAAAATATATAATGTTGAAAATTGGAAAATTGTAGTAAATAAAGACCTCTTTCAAAATTTTTGTTTAAAAAACTAATTAAAAAATTTACAATTTAAAATGAGTGCGCTTAGTAGCAAATAGCTTATATAGTTTTGTTTCCGAATATATGTATAATTAATAAATACTTGTTTAAATGTAATGTAGGAAACACTAAAAGTGACGCATAGGAAAACACTTGAGGGTCATACATATGGTGTAGGACTACTTGCTTGGAGCCCTGATAGCAATCATCTAATTGTTTGCGGTCCTGAAGATTGCCCAGAACTATGGCTTTGGAGTATCGATACGCCTGATTGCGAATTACGCGTAAAATTGACACAAAGCACGGATGACTCGCTGACAGCTTGTGCCTGGCATCGTGATTCGAATAAATTTGTGACGGGAGGAATTCGTGGTCAATTTTATCAATGCGTACGTTAATTTCAAAATAAATAAAATTTATAATATTAATATTATGAAACATAAAACTATTTTTAAAAAATTCTCAATAAGTAAAATATTAATTCTTTCCAATTACAAAATATTGTCCAAAATTTCCAATCACTACAAAATAACAATGTCATTGAATAACGAAATATGTTTCAATTATTTAGTTAAAAATTTGATTTATCTTGAAATTTGTAATCCTTACTAGATATATACAATATATACATACAACATTTACAGCCGAATAGTTAACAAGAAAAATTTAAAAAGTTTATTAAACATACCAAACATTCTTTTTCGATGTATTAAATTCTAATTGAATACATTGTAAATATAAAAATATTCAGGATATGGACGGCAATGTTTCTGATTCATGGGAAGGAGTAAGAGTAAAATGTCTGTGGTGTCGCAGTGACGGGAGGACTGTTCTAGCGGCTGATTCACATCACAGAATTCGCAGCTATACTTTCGACGACTTAGGCGATGCTACTATGTATGATTTAATAATGATTGATAACCTGTATTATTTTGTGACCAAAATTATTGAGAGATATTTCTGTGCATCATTACAGATTACAAGAGGATCATCCCATTATGTCGTTTAGCGTAGACAGAACAGATCGACTCGTATTACTTAATGTGGCAAATCAAGGTATGCATCTTTGGGATTTAGAAGATAAATGCCTTATAAGGCGTTTTCAAGGCGTCACTCAAGGACATTTTACTATCCATAGCTGTTTCGGAGGAGTTAATCAAGATTTTATTGCCTCTGGCAGTGAAGGTTTGTCATATGCAAAAATAAGATGTATTTTTATACATTACATCATTATATACTGTTTAGTTTTCTTTAAAGAAAAGTAATTATGCAACAACTGTGACTAATAATTATGAACAAATATAATTGTTTCTTTTCTACTTTATTACAGACAATAAAGTGTATGTATGGCATGTCAAAAGAGAATTGCCTATAGCGATTCTTACTGGACACAGTAGGTTAGTCAGTTGTGTCTCATGGAATCCTGTGTATCACCAAATGATGGCTTCCGTATCGGATGATTTTACAGTAAGGATATGGGGCCCAAGATCGTATTCTTCAGATGGAGAAAATGATAAAACAGGTAAGAGAGAGTTTTTACACAATAAAATCTAAGATACACTTTTTTCATGTATGAAAGAATTGCTCTAATATATCATATTAATATACTATCTTTCGCATTCCTTTCTTTTTCACATATTTCTTATCCTTTCAGTTTCGCTTGAAACCAACTCTTCAAATAGCAGCGGTTGGCACGAAATGGTATCGTAGCGAATTACAGTTCTCAGTGTTCCCATGACCTCATGGTGTTCAAAAGACTGTCATGCTGACATTTGACTGTCGTACTGTCCTGTTGATTGTCATACTGACATTTTACTGCCTTTTGTAGCAGTTGCTCTTCTATACCTCTTGTCGATCTTAATCATCCACTGTGTACACACACACACACACACACACACACACACACACACACACACACACACACACACACACACACAACACACACACACACACACATACAGAGGTAACAAGAGGAATGTATATGTTTAGCAACAACTGCTAAATTGCCTGCAATTATTAAAACCAAAATCAACCATTGTGCGTAATTATCACATTTGTGTGTATTCTTTTTTTATAGTACCTTTAAATATTTTACATGCATTCATATATATATGGCAGCCGTTGTGTTATCTTAAAATTTTGAATGATTTAACGTCGGAGCTAATAATCGAAAATATGTGACGCAGCATAATATGATATAAAGTAGGTCATATGGCAGAGTAGAAAACCAAGAAAATTCCGTCTTAGGATTGTGTAAAGATAAAATTATATAAACAAGAATATGGAATGCATCCATGTATTGGGACAGTATCGTAGAAACACTATGTTTTGACAGGAATTTTGTCAAATTTGACTATAATTGTATCAATAAATATTGTATATAACAGTTTCAGATCTAGAGTTTTATTCTAAGTGGTTTATTGATTAATGACTCAAACATTATCTTTGATATGTGATGTCGTAATTTTCGTCTTTTATTGAGAATAAATATTGAAATTTCAAATATTGTGATCTCACAAGGGATTATTGAACTTTGTAGATTGGAACAAAAATTCGAAAATATTTGATGGAGAAACGATCTTGTTGCGTTCACAGCAGCACACCAAACTGTAGAAATAAAAAGCGATATTTGTCTGAAGTGGCTTTATTGTTTAGGCTTTTATAAAAGAATTAATTATATATTAATTTTTAGTTAGAATCATAATCATGATTGTAAGTGCATGAGTGCAAGAAAAGTTATCCAGTCCATGTATATCATTAGGCTGTAACTTTACAATGAAGCATCTAACATAAATTATAAAAATGTTTTTAAGTGAAAAACTTATTTATTTACATGTGATTGCACTATCTGAAATGATGAATATACATAGGTAATATCGGAAAAATATAAGTATTGAACTCGTCTTATTAATTGCCATGTACTAAAAGATGTTTTTCCATTATTTATTAAATTCAATAATTATATAATATAGAAACATAAAATAGTATTATATAGGTTTCTCCATATACTGCTCAAATTGCTACAGCGACTTCAGCATGTGAAAACTAATCGAAAATGTCTAATAAACATATGTCCGATTGCGAACAGTTTCGAAGTTACGGGATATTGAAATAAGAAAACATGAATCGCGCGTAACAGAGGCTGCGTTCCGTTTCACGCATAAAGCGTATGCTGCATTATTTAATCTTGTTATTTACCGAATGTTAAACAAGGATAAATGATGCATTATGCACACACATCATGCGTGAAACGGAACGCAGTCAGAGAAAATAATCAAATGATTGGTCGTCCTTGGCTGCGTTCCGTTTCGCGCATGATGCGCATGATGCATCTTTTATCCTTGTTATTCACCGAATGTTAAACAAGGGTAAATGATGCATTATGCACATCATACGTGAAACGGAACGCACCTCTTGTCTAATCCACGTAATAGTATGGAAGAGAACCACAAAAACGTGGACATTACCTTACGAGGTTTTGTACATAAAAAAGGCCAGGATGTCTACACTCAGGTCTCTCTCTGATTATAATAAATATTGTTTAATGTTCATTATTCTATTTAATGCTTTACAAAGGATGCTCAAAAATTCTTCGATCGACTTCGACACACTTTTTAGTACGAATTAATAAATTGTTTCGGACTTTTTTTGAAAAATATTTGGAATTTCACGGATGATATCGGCAGCATTAAGTATTTCTTGCCACAATTGTTCTGAATTCTCAATTTCATTTTAGAAACGAATAAAAGACCTACCAGTCTATTAGAATAAGAGTCACAGGAATCAAAACAATAGAATAAAGGACTTTAAACAACATTTACTTCGATTTATGTTTTCTCATTCAATACCCCGTAACTCTAAAACTTTTTGAAATCGGACATGTTTATTAGACATTTCACATTTTCGACTTGTTTTCATGTATTGAAGTCGCTGTAGCAGTTTTAATACTTTGTAGAGGGACACCGTATGTTTCATAATACATATACATTATATTTCGTAAACACAACGTGATAATATTTTGATAATTGATGATATTATAATACTGAATGAAATTAATATTTGTTTTCTTAATTATCGTTTTTCATTGTTGTTTATTCGTTTACGAAAATAATTTATAAAAGTTATGTGGCAAGAGAAAACTACACAAAAGAGTATATTAATAAAATAATCATTTTTTTAATTCGATAATAATTGGTTTTTTAAGTTACAATGAATATGATCGAAATACAATAGCAATTAACGGGATGAGTAAAAAAATAGAAAAAATATTTTAATTTCTTTTATTCTCTGAAATAAACGAGAACGAGAAGTCTGAGACTATCAAGAGATGTAGGGTATACCTGTATATGTAAACATGTATAAATATCTTTGCAACATGTATTACTATTAAACATATTTACACACAAAATAAACTTCTATAGTTAATGATCTTAATGTTAATAGCAAGTAACATAATATTAATCACGATTATTATTTGCATTTACCTCTGGTGCCTTAGCACTTTATAATCTAATCAAATTTACAGTTTCTTGCGTAATTGAAAACTTTATTATTTAATTTTTAACTTAATAGACTGTGTAGACCTGTACATGGTGATAACAGTGATATGGTAACAAGCTATATAACTCTCCAAACAATCTCTAAGAATATCCTACAAATCTCATTCGCATATACAGATCCAAGTTTTAATTTCCTTTTATTATTCTTATAGTAGTCTAATACATACCATAATTTTAATTAGATATATGAGCACTTCTGCGTAATATCAAATATCGAATTATCGTTTGTCATGAATTTTTGTATTTATTATTGTATAATATTATGAAAAGGAGCAATAATAATAACTTCCAAAATTTTAAATTTTCATAGATTAATATACATATAAACAATAAATAGTATAATCCCAGCTAACACAAAGTTACATGTAACGTACTCGTTAGTTACATGTAACTTTGTGTTAGCTGGGATAAGAATGAAAGTGTGCACACATGATCAAATATCGATTTATCCTTTTTCACAGAACGAATAAAAACAAATTTCAAATTTTACTTTTAATCGTGTAATTAAAAATACATTTTTTAATTAAATTATAATTGTATAATGTATATTACACAAATTATTTAATCCATCGTGGTCATGCACTTTTTGAAAGTTCCATAATGATTACACCGGAACTCTAGCGCATTTAATCGTGGTTGTTATACTCACAGTTTTCGTTCCCTGAAGTAAAAAAAATTATTGAACACACTTTAAACACTGTAGAACATAGAAGATAATCTTTTAAATTAGCTCCTTATCCCTTTGCCGCATCATCATTATTATCGTCTGACCGTTAAAGATTTTAGACATACAAATTAAGGTCCGTATTCAGAACGCGCTTTTATCGATAAGAGCTATCTCCGAATTTCTATAATATACGTAACGTAAAATATAGCATGATAAGTGCGTTCTGAATATGGGCCTTAGTCTTAATTACTTACATATCTGGGCTGCGTTCGGATTCCCACCCGAGTGCTCCTCGGGTGTCATGTCATCTTTGTTTAACGTTCGGTAAACAACAAGGATGATATGACATCCGGGGAGCACCCAAGTGGGAATCCAAACGCAGCTCTGTTAAGTTTCATCTCTACATTATTATGGCTGGATTGTTCCACCTTTCGGTAACTTCAGCTCACTGTCTTATGTTCTTACTCTTTTACTCTTGTTTATTCAATAAATAACTTACTACACAGACTACGTTTACACGGCTCGATTTATAACATCTGTTATAACTACTGACGTTAGATGCCGTGTAAACGCTATTTTAAGACGGAGTTATTACTTCGATGTATAGTAACTCAAAGTCATTTGATGAAGAGTCTTAGAGTTATAACATCGACATAAAAAGGACGTGTAAACGACGTCGGTGGTTATAACTTCGACGTAAATCGAGCCGCGTAAACACATAGATTAAAAAAATAAGATAAAAATATAGAAACGAAAAAGCGCGAAAGTTAGAAAACCGAGGAAACTCGATATAGTAGAAATTATAACATCAACGTTCCTGAACGTGCAAACGCGACTCGCTTAAGTAGGAGTTATAACATCAGCGTTACTAAGTCGAAGTTATGGTGACGTCTAAACATAGTCACGGTTTATCTAAAGTTAAAACAATCAGCCCTTAGGACCGGTTATTTTATCTTTAGATAAACTGTGAGCTGAAGACCAAAAGGTGGAACAACCCAGCCTAAATCTTGTTAAGTTCTATCTCTACAACATTCTATAACATTTTTATATACATCGACAATGCAGCGCCACTGTTTCTGTTATATAACTCATTTCAACTGTCAATTTTGAGGTATAAGCTTTTTCTCCAGATCTATTATTTTTAAGATTTCTGACTACTCTTAAGCCTTAGACACAATTAATGCGAAGCAACAGCGATAGAATTAGTACAGAAATAAGCGGTACATAACTGTCGCTTCCTGTTGCATAATGCTATGAAAGAAATAAAAAGGCCAACTAATCTGATCGCATGTATATAGACTGTAGTATGCTAGCTTCTATCTGCTTCAAGATTATAGTGTATATAAAAAAAAATGAAATCTCTGAACGCTGATTGGTAGACTATATAAGGCGATAGAATTCCAACTCGTCGGATCGCTATTGCCTTATTCTGAGTTTCTATATATGTGCATTGACCAGCATTGACACAATGCATTATTACGAGCGCGTTACACCGTAATATATATATATATATATGTATAATACAAAAGGGTCAAACGCTGTCTTCTGACCAGACTATTTAATACCGATATAATGATACAGACGAGTTGACAGATTAAGTTGTAAGTTCGTGTGTCATGAACGGCTAACGAAAGTAGATTCGATCAGAATTAGAGGGATCTTTGCTATAATAAAAGAAGTAGAGTTTTCGTTGAATAATAACCAATAACGTGATATATGTATATGAAAAATTCTAAAAACGTGCGTGGTGAAGATAAGAGGAACTGAAGTACGTGAGTTTCGATGACTCAAGAATCCGTTTTGCAGATGTCACAAAATATTTGTAAAATAAGAACGAATATTTGTAAAGGGTCTTGAAGATATAGACAAAAAAAAAGACAAAACGAATATTGAAATCATATAAAGTAAATAGCAGGAGGTTTATCAGGACTGTCTAGACATTAATGATGACGACTCAGATGTCTCAAATTTATTTAATTTAGGTGTCGCGAGTTCTGAAATATTATATGTTTATATAAAGACGATGTTTATTTTTTCTACTTGTCGCATTAATCTGCAAACTGGGATGACCCCGAAACTTTCAGCTCGAAATTATGCTTTTATTAATGAGAGTTTAATCGGTCTCTTCTCTCCCCCCCCCCCTTTACTCTTTCTCGCTCTCTCACCCAAGTACCCTGCGAGTCAACACAGGTCAACACGCTTGACGTTGATCATAAGCCCACAGCTATTTCATCAGAAAAAGAAGGGGATAGGGGCGTAAACCGGAGAAAACATTTTCCATATGTAGAATCTTAGTATAGAGCGAGGAGACCAGCTAACGATAATAGTCCAATATATGTAGACTTCCTTTCGTTGATCAGTCTTATTCGAGCCTTTGGCTGAATCAGATCGGAATATCAAGTTAATGTCTCTGACATTTATTGCGTTAAATGTCATTGCTCTCTTCATTTCAGTATCTCAAATCGTGGATAATTTTGTTAGCAGGACATATCATCTGCATATTTTTACGATCAACAAGCGAAAATAATATAACAGTGACGATAGTATCAGTGAAATTAAATCTAAATTGTTTGTTGATAATATATTAAATTATTACCAAATTAAACTTGTTGCTTATCAATTAAGAAATATATTGTGTTATTCAATTTCACTGGAAAGAAGAAACGTATGTAACATTATCCTTAGTCTCAAAATACATTCCAGGGATTTGGACTGAAAAATTTCGGTTTGGATAACAGTCCGAAGCTAAATCCGCTAAATTCAACTTTTAGTTCCAATTCTTTTATCAATCCTTTACCCTAATGTGGTTACTGGAAGAGATTAGATTTTGATCTTTTTCGGTTTTAGTAATCATAATTCATCTTTCTTCCCCTTCTTTCCTCCTGGAGAGAAAAGGAAGAGAGATGAACTGGTGCAAAAGTTCAGCCAAAAAGAATAGGCCTATATATACTTACAACGGTCAGCGTTATCGCTAAAAGGATCGGAACTGACACCGAAGTCGAAAGTAGCCTTGGACCATAACTGTAACCGGTCCGAAATTTTATTCCAGAATGTAATTCCAGTCCGAGTCTCTGGTACATTCTCTTTTTATATTTATTCCAGTTATCTTTTTTTTCTGAATATTATTTAATCTCGTTCTCTCTCTCTCTCTCTCCCCTTTTTTTTAAGTTTTTAAAATACGACTAATATACGTATATCTTTTTTAGACTTTTTATTGAAAAATCATGCCGAGTAGTAAAACGAGAATCGCTGTTGTGGGTGGTGGAGTGGCTGGTCTGGTGGTAGCTCGTCATGTAGTGGCCAAATTAAATTCTTATAATCTCGTCCTTTTCGAGCAAACCGATCACATCGGTGGCACCTGGGTGTATACTGATGAAACAGATCTTGACAAACATGGACTTTTGATTCACAGCAGCATGTACAAGAATCTCAGGTGAGATCGTCAGTAGCTGAGTAAATAGAAAGCATTACATAACTTTTTATCATGAGGAGACACGGTAGTGTCTCGCGCAAAGAGCAATTAGCGCAATGATATCGAAGCGCGAGACTGGCCGTGTATCTTGTATATATACAGGATGTTACCGGGTTAAACCGCCAAACTTAAAATATGAACTTAGGATCTTAAAACAAGCAAAATTTTCCTCTGCAAATTTGCTCACAAACGCTTCGTTTAAAGAAATAAAAATATTAACTTCTTAAGTAACAGAACTATAAGAATGAATAATATCAAAATATATATATATTTCTTGATTTTGTTTGCTCTGAAACAAAATGTGTAACAAATACTCGTTATACATAATATGCCTTCTAACAAGCAACACAAATGACACGATGTGACATAATGGCTGTGTTCAGCGGACTCAACAGTTTAGTGAGCGCTCGCTGCTATTGATGTATTCTTCGAGATCTAAAATGCTGATTGTATGATTTAAAACAATACATTAATAGTAGCGAGTGCTCACTCAACTATTGAGTCCGCTGAACGCAGCCAATGTTAAACAAAGATGACATGATCACTGTATCGTACCGTATCACTTGTTGGAAGGCACACATGACCTTCCAACAATGACCTTCAAACATTAAAACGGAGGATAGTGCAAACACAAATTATAAAATTAAAAGTATTTAAAGGTATTTAATTAATCCATTGCTTATAACCAGGAAAAAATGTTTTATATGTAATTATATATAAAACATTCTTTTCCCGAGAACTTGTATATATTTTAATTATCAGTAAGAATGATATCGATTTATACTCTCTATAAATTTTAACGATGTATACCCATGTGTATCGATGTAATTTATATCAATTTTTATATTCTTGTCTTTTTTCAACGTTTTACTACAATAATTATTGAAAAATATGTGTGCCGTTTATTTGATATTTATATATTGGGATTAAATAAATATTTGACATGTTTCAGTCTTACTTTATCAATATATTTAATTCTTTTCAACATTTAGTTTATCTATAGATATTACAAAAATGTTTACTACACGAACATATATGATTATGAATTTATTTGGAAACGAGTTGTATCTCGCTATTAAATTGATATTTTGTTATATGATCCAACATTAATTATGTGTGCGTAATATACAAATAGTTTCCGTATAGAAGCATAGAATAATAATAATTTCTTAATAAAAATGTCATTGCATCTTTGGGTGCGTTTCGAGTTACGCATGAAGCGCGTAAAAAGTATCGTTTTATCCTTCTTTATTATTTGGTGAACAACAAGGACAAATGATACATCATTCATGCGCTTCATGCGTAACTCGGAACACACTCTTTATATGATAATCTTCGAACTGCGAAGGTCCTGAAGCATCTTCATCACTTGTCAATCTTGTCATATGATGATATCATCATGCCTGAGTACGCAAAATATCAGCTCCATGATTATAGTAAACTTTAACCACTATTAATTTAAAAACTATTATAGCCTTGACATTTTCGTAATAGGATTTCCGTCTTAGAATGTTTCAAAGAATCCGTTTTTAAAAGGATGGGCATGGGACTATATACGCCCTATATACGCATTTGCTATTATTGACTATAGGATCCCAAATAACATTTATGTTGCATAAGATATCTAAAAGACGTCTTTTGTATGTTATCTGGGATTTCTCATTTAATACACAATTTCCTTCTCTCTTTTTTGATCTTGTTCCATAATAATCTATAAGATAAATCTGTATCACTGCTGTCTTGCTATTATGCCCAATTTCTTCACTTCCATCAGATAAGTTGCGGACAACTTTATCCAGGAGATATCTCCATTTTAATGTGGAAAATATCTCCTGGATAAAGTTATCTAGAGGTAAATAAATTGGGCATTAGTCGCTCATCCAAACATATTTTTAGATCATTTTCTATCATCAATTAGATCTAAATAGGTTTTTTTTTCTAATTAACCGTGAGACTTGATCGCAGTGTCATCTGCGACAGATATGTGCGTGCGTGTGCGTGTGCGTGTGCGTATGTGTGGTGCGCGTGTGCGTAAATATATTTTTATTTTGTCATTCTTTATAATGCATAATAGAATAACTGATTGTGCAATCTCAATTATATTCTTAATAGAAGTTGGGATTCCTGCGACACACACGGCGATTACATTTCGATAAAAATGAAGGACTGTTGGTGAGGCGGCAGATCATAAGTTCAATTCCAAAACAGAAATTAATTTGCAACAAGTTTGGAATAAAAGTACGTAACGAATAAGCGTCTTCTACAATTAAAAAACAATAAATACAGCGTCCCTGCATACATGTACATGAGAAACACCCGGTCTAATGCAGTAACGTGATCAATTTTGCTTGACACGCGATACACTTTGTGATACGTTAATGAGAAGATCGATTTCCTGAATTGCGGAAAGGAAGTGCATACGTTAACAATAAATCAAATAACGAAGTGATCTGCAATGTGGATCGAAAATCATTGCATGATAATGTGAAAGACTCAAGGGCTCTTGCGAAGATATAAATTTTTGGACGAAACCGATCGAAGTAAACAATTATGACGAATGCAAACATATAATTCCCTATTTGCGTTTGGATAATAAAATTTTTTTATTTATTTCATCTGTACCTCTCATATATTAATGTGATTCTATGGTTCTGAAAACTACCAAGTTACTCCTATTCAAGCCTTCGACAGCCAACTTAATTTTAGCTAAATAACACATCGAATAATATTAGTAAAAAATAGAAAGAGTTAGAAATATTTCTTTTCGTTATAATATAAACACGCTTAATCATAAGATGGAAAAATATCTTTCCAATTATGTCTATGTCTATCAAGTAAATTTAAAATAGACTAGAGCTTATTTCAGCTAAATTGATAATAACTAGCAACTTTGTTCATCGCTAGTCTTGGGTTATAGGTCGCCGTATCTTTTGAACTCCGCGGCGGATAAAATTAATAAAAGTCGCGCGCGTGATCACCTAAATACTGAGAGAACGAATTGTTTCCGTTTTTCTTGCAGGACAAATATACCGAAGGAAGTAATGGCGATACCTGACTTTCCCTTTCAAGATCTGGATGGCCCTTCTTTCATTCACCATAGCTTAATAAAAAAATACCTCATGAGCTATGCGAAGCACTTCAATCTTTATCCCTACATTAAAGTAAGTTTTTGAATTCTATTGAATTCTACTATGAAGAACAAATTCAAAATATATTACGTCTTCTCATTTTTCCATTCTGATAACACATTTTATTAAATATGTATGAAAACGAAGAGAAATATAAAAAAAAAGCGTTTCTTTGCTACTCGACATGAACTATCGTCATCGAGTTTCTGATTAATATGTACGTACAGGATGATTAATCTTAATCTTATTAGATATATTATACCGGAAAGAAAGCATATCTAAAAAAATTTTAAACGAGAATTGAAAGGTTGGTGGAGGGACAAATAATGGTTGAATCAATTTTCGAAAAAATTGATTTTTTAAGGTCTCATCATATTTTTTAATAAAATTATATGAAAGATTCCTCTTACACGTAATATAATTCTTCTACAATAATAAACTTTTTATTGTGAGACCGTATAATGTGAATATACAACAAATGAAGGATGATGCCCATAACGATCGAAACTGAATTTTAAGTGCTTAAATATTTTAATGTGAATTTATATAATACATACATGTGTAGTTATTTGAACTACGCGCCGAATTGATTTTTCGGACTTAGAAACGGACAATTGGACCACTGTAATATCACGAATTAAATTGACAAGCAATTTAAAATTTAATACTAATGATTGGCATCATTTTAAAAAGACCCTAATGTACTGAAAATGTATAAATAAATTTATTGCAAAAAATATTACGTCGGTCGGGAGTTGAATCCAGCTTCGATAAGCATTATCTCTCACTTGTTGTGTATTCACATCATACGGTCTTAATAAATCATACGCTACTTGAAAAATGTACATATTCCTACATATCGGTTATTGTGAAGAATATTACTAATTATCCTCGGTGGTTTAAAAGCTTAGGATGCTCGCACGGAATGCTAGAGATCCGGGTTCGATTTACAACCGAGGTAATATTTTTCGCAATAAGTTTATTTACAGATTTTTAGTACATCGAAATATTCTTAAAATGATGCCAATCAAATATCAAATTTTTTAATTACTTATCAATTAGTTTGTGAGACTGCTACAGTGGTCAGTTGCGTTTCTAAGTCCGAAAAATCAATTCGGCGCAGTTCAAATGACTACATATGTAGTGTATAAATTCACGTACAAATATTTAAACATTTCCCTTATAGCAAAGGGTCACATTTATGTTACAATAGAGTCACAATAGTCAGAAAGAAAATATGATGTCACTGAGATTGTCATAACAAAATAACACATGTTACAAAAACATTCGCACATCACCATGGCCCATGGCATTGCTGTGACATCACATTTGTGATAAAAAACGGACATTCACACGTCATTATGACGTAACCATAATTATTGTGTCGTAACTGTGACGTTTTTTGTTATGGGGTTAAGCTCCAGCTTCGACTTATAACCTTCGCGTTATAGGTATTATCTTACTTGTTGATAATTTTTCTAATTGTTCCGCGTATACACATAAATATTAAAGTAAAATTATTTAAGAAATAATAGAGTTTAAGAGATATTTTAGTTTTTATTTTCGCATATTTTGAAATAAAATATAAAATATCTTGTAAACTGTAAAATTCTTAATTATTCTTACTTAATATGATATAATCTACATTATATATACTGCAGAACATCTCGATTCGTTAGCACGCTAACATCGTTATAAACACGTTCTGAATACAGATCTTTGACAACCGAAATTTGTTGAATTTTTTCCACATCCAGCCTTTAGGTACTGTCCTTACTACTTTCGACTTTCATTTATTTTGTTTTAACCATTAAAAGATGCCCTGCATGGCCGGCAGTACGCCAGTGACACAGGATGGTGGGCCGATTTTTGCCTAAGAAGTGTAACGTAAGTTATACATGTGATCTTACGTTTTTAGGTTGCTAAATATGATGGCATAGAAAAATAGTCAAAATTCGCCTTAAAGGGAAAATAACATAATTTACTTTTATAATAATAAATTCGGCTATAATAATGATTTTGCTCTAATTATTTAATTACTTGTATAATTTGATAATCTTTTTTCACTGAAAACCAAAGAAATGCTAAAAAATAAAATACTTCAAAATTGCTAAATCTAAGAATTAAAAAATATAATCAATATATATATATTTCTTATTTTAAAAATCTGAGGTTTCGTCAGATACGCATGCATCTGCATACACTTTGTGTTGCAGTTGTAGGGATGTTAAAACGATGGTGCTCTACACCATCACAGAGTTTCCATCTAGAGGCAGATCAAAGTTTTAAAAGATAAATCTTAAAGTGAACTTCAATATAAGTCTAGAGGTCTATTATGCACTGCTTTTCGTATTATATTGTATAGTATAGCGTTTGTAAATTCATTCATTGTTATCAGAATCTGTGATATATAAAATATATTATTTAAATATTTATCCCTATAGGGGAACAGAAACAATATTGAATCAAAAGATCGAGCATCAAAAAATAAAGCAAAAAATCAGCTGACCATAACTACATCTGAATAATAGCCTACTACACAAGTACCCCCTCAACAGTTACATGAATGAACCGCCATAGCTGAAGAACTAGAAGTATATATTTTTATCTATTAGTACATAAATAAAATATTTAATCAATCTTTAACGACAAGATGAAAATCGGTCATTTTAACATCCTTAAAACTGTAGATCTATGCATATCTGATGAGACTTAAGATTCTTTGAATAAGAAATTGAACATATGCTGGGCGACTTAAGTACAGAGTGCCAGAGGTCTATACCAACAAGCAGAACAAGTTACAATGATAACGTCAAAATGACATTAAAATGAATCGGAAATGATTGAAAAATGATCATTTTGGAGTCATTTTGATATCATTTTGATATCATAATGACTTGTTCTGCTTGAGCTACCACACCACTTGCTGGAAAATTTCTGAAATCATTTTGAGACAAAGATCTAATATCAAAATGTCAAGGTTTAATAGTTTCTTAATTATAAACATTTAAAGCTAGCGAATCATATTATCTACATTTTGTGTGTTTAAGTATGATTAATATTTTAAATTATATTGTGGAGCACAAAATACTAATCCTAACTAAACGCGCGAATTTTAGGCGATTATAATACGCTTTAAATACACTTATACCGATCGAAGCTGGATCTTGAGTACTTTAAATAATTTCATGTAAATTTATATATCACGTTTGTAGTCTCTCGAATTACGCGCCGAATTAATTTTCCGGACTTAGAAACGCAACTGAACTACCAATAGTAATATCACAAATTAAATGAATTAGCGGTTTAATAATTTGATGCTCAATTGGCATCATTTTAAGATCTTAATTAATGTATTGGAAATTTGTAAATAAATTTGTCAATAATTAGGGAACATCCAATATATTAAAAATTAAAAATATTAATATAAAGAATTATAGAAGGTTTATTAAATAAATAAAGAAAATGCTTGCTATGTAAGGATTAGTTTATATGATTTTAAATCTTTTATGATTTAAATCTTAATACTGATTGTTACAATTAATACACACTTAATATTTATCTTAATATTATAAAAAAATAATGAAAAAAAATAACGAATCGTTTCTTTCTAAATAACAGTAATAACAACACGTTACTTTTCAAAATTAGTAACAAGTAACGAATTTAACAACAAAAAAAGATGATAATAACGCGTTATTTTTATAAAGTATTGTTTTCTATCTTACGAACGAATATATGTATATATGTTAAAATCATTGATACTTTTTCGTTTTTTGTCATTATTTTTATTTTGGATCACGTTTGTTTTCAGTTGAATACCCTAGTGAAGCGCATAGAGCCAGAAACTGTTAACGGCCGGACATTATGGATGGTGACATATGAGTCATTGGAGACCAAAACAGAAACCACAAAGATTTTCGACGCCGTGGTGCTGTGCAACGGACATTACACTGTCGGTCGTATTCCGCATATTCCAGGTATCGAAAGCTTTCGCGGTAGATGCGTTCACAGCCATCAGTACAGAGTGCCAGAGGTCTATACCGGCAAGAAGGTTTGCATACTCGGCGCGTCCTGGTCTGGCATTGATATCGCCATGGAAGTCTCGCAATATGCTGATAAAGTACGCTGGCACATAAATCCCTGCACTATTAATTATCATTTGACAAATTTAAAGTTATACTTTCATCTTCCTGATAATGTCCCGAAAGTATCATCAGTATCAAAGGAACTCTGACAAACCTTGCGAAAATTTGAGTTAAATTTTCAATTAGTATCCTCACGTAAACCATGGCCCTTACATAAAATATATATTAAAATTTCATCCAAAATTCAGTTTTCGTAAAGTTTATGCGAGATTTTTTCCGAATTTTTGTTGAGATACATCATCTACGACCACATAAATCGTACGTCGTAAAGTGCTAATTGTAAAAAAAAAACCGCCGCATAGCAATGGCATAGTAATCCTAGTCATGATGTATTTACATCATGATCCTAATCATCAACGATTCGATACAATTTTTTTATTAATCCTTTAGTTCCCTTGATGATTTCAGGTATATCTGAGTCATAATCTGCCGGAACAACTCAACTCGAAAATATCGAGCAATCTCGAGCAAAAGCCCGGTGTCGAGTCCATCCAGGGGAACATCTTCACCTTCCGCGATAGTTCAACAGTGGAAGTGGACGATTTCATATTCTGTACTGGTAATGCATATCAGCGTTCCAGTTAAACTTTCTTCATGATTCATGATAGATAATTTCATAATTTCTTCTCAGGTTACAAATTCACGTATCCCTTTATGTCGGCTAAAGTCGAGATACGTACAGACGACGACCACGTGGAACCCATCTACAAGCATCTAGTGCATATGGACTATACAAATTTGTTTTTCATGGGCTTGCCCGCGTTGGTGATACCGTTTCCAATGTTCCATATCCAAGCACAGTATATTCTCGGGATCCTCGAAGATCGCATTAAGTTACCGTCCGCGCAACAGATGCGCGAAGAATACGAAATCGAGAAGAAGTTTCTATTGGACCAAGGTATTCTGGTATGTGATTCACGATTAATTTTTACAAATTTGCAGGAAAAGCTTACATTTGGAGAGGCGATGATAGATTGCCATCAACGACATATACAGGGTATCTGACATTAGGTGCACATTTTTTTTCTGTTGTCAATGATCTCGGACATTATCCTATTTTGATTCCAACCGCAGAAACAAGTGTAGGAAATTTTTTTTTCGGTCATATGTATACATACAAGTGATCGTCAATTGTCTGTCTGTGTGGTTTAGATTTACTTTTAATCTTCGCTCCATAAAAACGCTCCAAACTTCAATCATATAGGTGCATCACCGTTTATAGGTAAGTAGAGCGAACTAAATTGAATCAGAAAATCCTCTACCATAATAATCCGGGTTCTACTGTATTCACAATATTTTATTTATTCATCAATAAGTTTTTATTCCGTAAAAACAACAGTTTTTCGAAAATATTATCGGACAAACAATTTCATCGAGAAAAAATTCCGAAACCGTTCGGAATCGGACGTATGTTTATTAAACATTTTGAACTTGTTTTCATGTGCTGAAACCGTTGTAATTTTCACACTGTATGGAAAGACACCCTGTATATGTCGTTGATTGACATAAATGACGATTCTTTCAGGGAAAGACGAAACATATTTTGATATAACAATTATCACGACCTTGGTAAAAAATTTTCTTAGAATTCTTTATATAATTTTTCAGAATTTCCATATAAATTTTAAATTTTTTCACAATTCTTATATAGTTTTATAACATTTTAGAAAATTTCTCAGCTTTTGTGTATAAATTGGAACATTTTTCAAAAATATTGAAAAAGTCTATTCTAGAATTCTTTATATCTGAGTTCCGAAATATTTACTAAAAAATTTCTCATTTTGTAATTCCCAAAGAAAACTTATAAAATCTGAAGAAGTTTTTGAGATATTTTTCAGAAAAATCTTTATAAATTTAAATTTTATAAAGAGAAAATTAATATATTAAAAATATTATATGAATTTTTTATCCAGTTAGTATCCTATAGATAGGATAGATTATCAGACAGATACGAATATGGCAAATTGTTTTACTATTTAATAACATAAAAGAAATTTTGCATAAAATTAAATTCTTCAAAAATAATTGACTAAAAAAATTTTGATTTTTTTTCGATAGCAAAGTTATACTCGATACATAACAATATATATATATATAATTCAGAATTTTTATCTTTAACATATAGTAATAATTTAGTGAATTACAATTATGTCTAATCTTAAAATAAAAATGATTTTTATTATGTATAATTATTACTATATACATACCAAAGAATCAATCTCATAATTGGCCATTGCGATAGCTAATCAGAACTTTTAACAGTGGTTGTCTTTAACAATGAGCTTCTCTAGTTATCTAGAACTTTATTCTAGATAAGAGATCATGTTAAATTATAACTTTTTTCTTTGTCCCTAGCTGAGACACATTAACAAGTTAAAGGACAGGCAATGGGCTTACTATGATGAACTTGCAACCGCTGCGAATGTGACAGGCTTCCTACCAGTGGTCAAGAAGGTTATGGATCACGTTTTGCAAATGCGTGAAGTAGACTTCACCACCTACAAAAATTATCAGTACCGTATCATCGATAGCGAGAATTACAGCGTGTCTTACTGTAAACCTTGTTAAGTTCCACGCAAAGAAAAGTGAGTAAAGTAAATATTATTTTATCGCAAGACAACTATATGTATTTAAACGGATACGATAAACCGTTTATATCTTTCAGTATCAATACTGTTTATGCTACAAATTTGTACATACATCGCAATTTATTTTTTCGATTTTTTTTTTCTTTCTTTAAGGACAGTTTATTATAACAATTAGAACGAAGGCGCTATACCCGTTTATTTTAATCCTTCATAACCATACCTCTTTAAAAGTTTAACCGTAGTAGTCGTATAGGGGTCAGAATGACTTCGGAGCGCATTTAATATTAATTTTTTTGTCTTCAAAAAACGAAAACTGTGAATATGATAATAGGTGAAATGTGTTCTGGGGTCATTTTGACTCCGGTGTGACCATAAAAGATTAATAAAAATATTTACCATTATGTTTCTACACGAGGCTGACTCGCATTGGCTTGTTATAATAATAAAAAAATGGTAAAAGATAAATATTAGTACACAAAGTTATCGCGTTCATGTTGGAAAAAACCAGGTGCAGCCAAGTACTAGTCAATGGTCTAGTGTCTAGTTTACACCCAACGACCTGACCTAGCCACTGACCTTTACCCTGCTTTACCCCACCTAAGACAAGTCTCGAACGGAGCGTTTACCCCTAACAATATATAGACCTATAATATAAAATCCACTTCTACGTACACAGCTTATTGCACATTACAAAACATGAAATAGAGCCATCTATTAGTTTCTTAGTACACTTTACGCCTTTAGGCCGTCTGCCTGCGTTTACATGCGTTTAAGCTAGATAGGTCGTGCAGCCTAAAGCCCTGTGTCCACGATGCTAGAAATCGGTCCAAGATCTCGGACAGAGAAAAAATTAACAAATCACATTTGAACAATTTGATAGTACACACGCCATAAGAGAGGTCAGGGAAATCTTGAAAAAGATCCCTCATCTAAAGCCCAATGTCCATGATGCTAGAACTCGGTCTGAGTTCTCGGATAGAGAAATGTATAGCCAATCCGCTTACAGTTTTTACGGAAAACCGGTAAATTGATTGATTACACATTTCTCGATCCGAGAACTCGGACCGATTTCTAGCATCATGGACACAAGGCTTAAGCGAGGTTATAACTATTTATACCGTCGCGACCTGTTGTGTTTAGGTTAGATTTAGAGTATAGATGGCGGCCTAAACGTAGGGTATAAACTAGGCCATTAGGTCTGTTCGCGTTGCATGAAATCCCCAAATATTTTTGCACTTAAAATGAGATAGATACATATTTTGCTTTAAAAAGAAAGAAAATGAAGATGTCAAATGCCAAAAGTACGAACAACGCGAACAGACCTAGTCTTGAGATTTTCGTACGACTCTGCGCAGATACCAGATGCAGCCATATTTAAATGAACGTAGATTATACATTACTAAAAAAACGAGCATTGAAACATTCGAAACCCGATATAGTTTCCATGTGATTTATTTAGTCAATTAACAATGGGTTCAAGAATCAAACCGGCGAAGCATAGAGACGATATATAATTTATGGTTATGGAGACGATACGCAATTTACATAATTTTGAGGGTTTTTTAAAAAGGACAAAAGTTATATTTCTTTGTTGCATGATCATAACAATTATTTAAAAATGTAATCTAACGTAAATTCAAAATATATAATATAAATATCACAACTGTAATCTTTCAGCAATTTAACGAATGTTATACGACTGATGCGTATAAAATATATACTACACATATGTAATTGAATTTATTCAACTTCCAGTCGTCAAGGGTACATTCAGGGAGATGTTATTAGCGTTTTTAATGTCATCCTATCCTTGTTTTACATCTAATAAACAATATAGATGAAATAACTCAAATAGCTCTAATGTCTCTCCGAACACAACCCTGCAGATTGCTCACGATCGATTCAAAATTAAATGTTACAATGTTACATACATGACGCTACATCCTTTTCATGCCATAGCATTTTTTTACCATAGCATCAATTTTTATCACTATTGTACCTATTTTAACGCTGAAAATAAGAGAATATAGTCCATCAAAATTAGCAACACTGTTGTAAACGTCTTTTTTACATATAAAATATATATAAAGGACGTTTATGTATTACGTTACGATAATATATTGATATATTTCCGATATATAAATGTTATATTCAAAGTTGCTGACATAGAGTCATACCAGTACATTTATCATTACAAATAATATTACATGTAACATTTCTGATATACTCATGTAACATTACATCTAAGTTACACGTTTGCAGTTTGCTGGGAGGATTTATGACTCCTGTGCATTGAAACAATTACGATTGTCAGTGTAATCAAATTAAAATAATAAAAATTGCATTCGGTCAATTTGATATTGCTACAATTCTCAAGATCTTACATCATATAGAATTCAATTTAAGGATCCTACTGAAATTTACGATTTTAATTCGGGCGTATTGTGTGTGTACACACACGCACACGCACGCACGCACGCACACACACACACACACACACACGTATATCCGTTAATTAGTCATCAGAAATGAGATATTTAAAATAACGAACATCACTTATGCTGCGCATATTAATACAAGCATATGTTAAGAACTATAATAAGATCAATCAACTTATTCTTTCTTATTTCTGATGAAATCAATTAATACTTATGTTGGGTATATGGAGAACAAGATCAACATTCATTATTTTAATAAAATTTTATAGCCCCACTATCAAGATATACAGAATAAATAATATAATAGTATAAGGAATAAACAAAAAAGAATTATATATATAAATGCAAAATAAATGAGCAAAGTCAATAAATAGATATATTTTGATAGCACATTTTTTTACACGGGATTACATTTGAATATGTCACATTCTATATACTAACGTATCGTTTCTTTATTTCTCGATATATAAGATATAAAAATGAAAAAAATTCCCGCTTCTTCTATTTCCATTTGGCAATGAAAAATCGAAACGTCATGCGTCTTAAATTAATTCAATTATTCGAAGTATTATTGGGAATACATTACGATACACGCGCGCGCGCGCGCACACACACACACATATCTCGGCGCTTTAACGACAAACAAATTTACAATTCGTCATGCGTTTTCATGTGATTCATTACGAAGTCGTACAAATCGTCGAGATTACGCGAGCCATTGTATTCTGAGACCTTGCGTCCATTACGATATAAGTACAAAGTTGGAAAACCATCTACCTCCTGTTCATTGCACAATTGTTTACTTACGTCGAGTGTACAATCGACTTTGATAATGTTCACATTGTCGTTGCCGAAGAACTTCTTACCCAACTCTTCCCACGTGGGAGCCAGACGTTTGCAATGTCCGCACCAGGGTGCGAAGAACTTGACGAATGAAAGGCCCTTTTCGATACCTTGCTTGAAACTATCAGCCGTCAAACTCAATATAGCATTCGGGATTCCGTCAGTACTCTCAAGCTTCCGGCTTGACTCATCCTCTGCATTCTTACCCAGCATCATTGACACATAAGCTTTCAACTCTTCGTGAGTACGCTGACCAGTATATTTATCCACCTAGAGATTTATATCCCATTAAATATTCCATCAAAACTTTTATGTAAAAAAAAAATAGATCTGTTTGCGTTACTTGCACTTCTTACATCTTCGTTTTTTTTCTCTTTTTAACGTCCGAATATATATACATTTATCTCATTTTAAGTGCAACAATTTTTGAGAATTTCAAACAACGAGAACAGACGTACCTAATGTTTACTGAAATAATATAAAGAATTCCCTAAGAATTCCTGGATTTTCTAGATATTTCTATTAAAAATTCTGGGTAAAATTAAAGAATTTTTTAAGAGTCGACAAAAAAGAGACTTGTAGAGACCTCAGCTAAAATTATACACTGTAAACATATTATATAGTAAAATAATTTCAGTTAAAAAAAAATAAAATTTGTAAGTTAACTTCTTTTATGAATATTTCTTCAAAAGAAAAGAAACTACTGCAATAGTGTACCAGTGCAGTAGTGCAATAGTGGTCGAATTTACCACTTAGTGTACATTAATAGTGCAATAGTGTAATAGTGTAGTAGTATAATAGTGTAGTAGTGCTCAGTAGTTTTTTTGTGAAGGAAGAGATACAGATGACATAATGTAACACAGTGGATCATTACTTTGTTGTTTAATATTAAATAAAAATGAAGTGATCACTGTATTACATTATCTCTTGCAAAAAAGTACCATAAAGCAAAGAAAAATCTAAACATGCCATTATACAGGAGCATCAAATGCCAAACATTTACATAAAAGCTTATTGCGTACAATATCAACTTCCTTAATGCAAAATAATAAATTAAGAGAGGTTAAAATACACTATTATCCTAACATATAATATTGAAAATTTATGTTTATTTACATTATATAATGTAACCTACAAGATTCCACTACCAGCAGTATATCATGAGGAGCAAAAATGAGTTCCTTTTCCGGTGTAACTAGGTGAAGTGTTCCTATAACATTTAATACATTTATATGTATACAGCTTCTTAACTTCGACTTAATAACGCTGATGTGATAATTTCTACTTAAGTAAGTCATGTTTACACGGTCAGACTTGTTTTATTCCCAAGCTGAAAGAATGTGAAAAGTCAGTTTATGTCATGTTGTGTGTGGTGGCCCTAAGCCTCTTTATTAAACAACTTTGAGATATTATATCGATGTAATAATTTCGTTGTAAAATATAGTGTTTACACGACATCTAACGTCAATAATTTATAACATCGATATTATGAAACTGGACAATCACAGTCATTCCATTCTTCGAAGGAATAGTTATGTTGGCCAGTTTCGTAACTTTGATGTTATAAATCGAGTCGTGTAAATGTAGTAACTATTGGATAGTAGCTGCAATGATGATCCACAGATCGTTCGTCCATAGACGAACTCATCTAAATCTAACTAAGAGATCCTCAAATAGATTCCCTCACAAAGTTTCTTATATTCCTCTCCATTAAGAGTCGCGTGAGCCTCTCACCTACTTGCTCTCGGAACCCATAGTCCGTCCTTATACAAGCTTATACAAGGTTTGTATGAAACAAAGATATTCAAACTTAATCTTTCGAACACATACTTGGATGGCAGGTTGAGACGCCAAGGTACGAAGAGATAAAAAAAAAATTTCGCTGAATTTTTAACGGAGAAGAATTTCTTAAATTTTAATATAAAGAGATTGATATAATAACAGAGGCTGACATGAGGAATGAAAACACACATAATCACTTTTCTACAGAGGAGGAAATGATATGGACGGAAGAATAATGATCACAGCTGATCAAGATTCTCAACAAAAATGACGTTGATTAATACTTCGCTGACGTCGACGGATATCATAGCATTAAGTAAGCTACCTACAAGCTCTAAGGAAGATGGTCACAGGATATCGAGTCCCAAAACCCTGATGATAGGTACAAAAGATAGTCTCGAGGCTCTTGAAAAAAGGAAATTTACGATGCTTTCTCGAAGGACCTATACATTGTTCATTTTCGAGTCATATCAAACAAATGAGGAGCAAGTGATTCCTTCTTATTAGTATCTCGAAAAAGACAGTTCCTATATAATATAAAGTTCAGCCAAATATACAAATATTCGAGATACTTGGAAGGTTACGTTTAGTTGAAAAACTCTAGCGAACAATGCTTTGTCTAATGCTGTAAGCGACAGATATTGTAGCTTTTGTCTCCAAGTTCAAAATCAGTAGGAAGGCGATAATCAGAGATTTAATTCGGAAAACATGCCTCTCGAAGAACTGAAGGAAACAATTGAGATGGAGAAATCTTATAATCTTATAATCACGAACCTGTTCATACTTAAATATCGAAACAGGAAAACGGGCCAAATCGAAGAGTCTCGAGCAGTCTGCATCAAGATAAAAGGCGAGTCCAGATATGATTATCATCGAAAAACGGCCAACCTAGTTAAACTGTATGTAGCTACTGTTCGGCTCTGCTTCAAATGTGACTACATAGAGCACATTAATAAGTTCTATGAGAAACTAGAAGCTTGCCTGAATTGCGCAGGTGCTCATCACTTTTCAAAGAAGCCGCAATGCCAACAGCCAAAGATTAAAGACATGTATAAATTGTGGAAGCCCACATAATACGTAGAAGCTGCTCTGTATATAGGAAGCACGTGGAAATCGCGAGGGGGGGAGGTCATGAGGTCAAATAAAAATATTTCAAATTAATTTAAATACATGCCCAGCCCTGCTCATTCATTTTTGAAGATTTAATATATATAAAATGCATGCGCATATGGCTAGCCATTGCATGCACACGTGACTACAGTACATGCGCACTGCACAGTTCGCAACATGCATATCGATATGATAGATTTTATGATCTCAGTAATAACAAACTGCATTAGTAATAACTTGCTTCACGAGATACAGCGAGATTTTTTTTTTGTTAAATCTTTACTTTTACATAAAAATGCAACAATTGAATGCATTTTGATAGACATTTAAAGTAAACGAGATATTTTCTACATTTGAGCCGTTTATTTTGAAAGTGGCCTAAGTCCATTTTTCAATGTTTTGTTGTTGACCTTTGTAGTAGCGTGTACAACTTGAAGTTAGCTGTCATAAACAACATTTTTTTTTTAAATGGACTTAGGTCACTTTCAAAATAAACGGCTCATTTATCTTCTTTACAATTGCAGCCACGATACCTACAGGAAAGCATAAAAATGGATCACTACAATTATTAATATTAATGAGTTTCTATTATATATTGTCTTCTACTGTGTTATCCTGATTTTTTAAAATAAAAACTCGCGAGAATATATGTAAATGTATGTCATAGATATCCGCTTTCTAATTAAATTAGGCATCAAATCAACCTTAGTTGCAGTCATGTCTATTGTATACTTTTAACATAGTGGAATTAGAAGGTGACCCATTGCACTTAATGGTGGAGGACTCCCAATCAGAAATTGAGCTTATTTTCAGCGTGAACGAGTCATGTGAATTTCTGCAAATGAGCTCAAAACTTGATTGGCTGACAGATCTCTCTACTTTCAACTCATCCGTCGGAATGGGTTATCTTTCTAATTTTACTATGTGTTTTTAGTATCATCATATACTATACGTGTTGCTTTCAATTAATTATAAGCCATAGCGTTCAATAAAGCTATTATTATTATTATTATTATTATTATTACCGATTGTCGGCATTTTACATTATCAAGGAAAAAACAAAAAAAATCAATGTTTTCAGAAAGAGACAGAATATAAAAATTAAATTTCAAGAATTTCCTGTAAATTCGTGATTTTCAAAGATAAAAAATCTCAAAATTTCAGATTTTCCAGATTTTTTCAGATAGTAAGCACCTTGCAAATAACTATTCTTTGTGCGAAAAAAATCGATATAATTCAATTAATACCTTTTTTCCCTCTTCAATCCACAGCAGTGTAGGATATCCCTTAATGTCAAACTGGCCGCAGATAATACGATGCTGTGTACAATCTATCTTAGAAATACTGACTACGTCGTCATTGCGAAGACTGTTGGCTAATTCATCCCAAGTTGGAGCTAATTTCTGGCAGTGTCCACACCAGGGCGCGTAAAACTTAACAAAATGATGTCCAGAAGATACGTGTTTTTCAAACGTATCTTCCGTTAATTCCAGTAATCCATTTACTGCTTCCGGAGGAGTCGGCATGACATCTTCAACCTGGAACATATAAAGTGTGTTTTACACACTTAAGAATACCTTAACATACTACTATTGTTACACACTAACAATTCAATGCAATAGCACGAAATTCAGTATAAAATATACACACCATTGAACTACCTAGCTGATCGTTAATAAAAGAAGTCAATGTAGGTAAATCACGAGTGCCTCGGAACTTGACGCCTTTAGTTTCTCCAGTCTTGTAAAATTTCAATCTATGTCAAAAGACATTATAACGTTATATATAATTGCAATACATTTCGAGATAATTTACAAATAAATATGCATAACACCACGCATAAAGATATTATCAGATATAATTATGGCGCACACATAAATTAAAAATCAATTTTCAAAAAATATGTTTCGGACAAAAGTTAAGTTAGATGGTAAAAATGTATTACGTAGGGTAACCAGTAACATCTTGTTCGCTGCACAAAATGCTCTCGGTTGTGCAATCCACCTTGGCGATTCTTATATTACTGTCCTCCTCATTCGAGATCTCTGCCAACTGCTCCCACGTGGGGCTAAGTCTTTGACAATGCCCACACCTTATACAGAACATTCCCAATTGTATTTCACCGTTCAATTAACGTGAAAAATAATATTCGTGCTACATAAGTTCTGTTTCTAAGAAAAATAAATTTATTTCTTAATTAAAATAAAAAAACAGCATGAAACACATTTGTTTTATTGAATTGATTAATTACAATAGACATATAAAGCACTCCAACTTTAGATCTCGAGATTCTGATTAGAGTTATAGCTTTTATTTTGGATTAAATAGGCTTGCTGTATTGCAGATCGAAAATCTGAATTTTTTTAACATCATATTAGATAAGATAATAAGTTTCAAAATTAGAAATTGGTTGGAAAAAAATTTTTTTTTCGACATGTTTCACCAAATCTAAAAATCTGAAAAAATATCGAATATATTGAGTGGGGGAGAAAGTTTCTTCGTATTTTTATGCAAAAGTTTTTCATTTGTTGCGAAATTTTCATTACAATTATATCATTCGCTAGAGCAAAGTTCTTTAAGAATCTGTTTTTTTAATTGCGATATGATGATTTTTATCGGAGTTATGAGTAATCAAAGTTAGAATACTCCTTATCTTTACTTAACTCACGAGTAACTCAGGAACAAAAAATCATAGAAACATTTTTTTTTTAATAATCTTGTAGGGAAAGCTTCGATCTTTCACGACAGGTATTCGAAAATTTTTGTAAATTCTTTTTGGGCACGTGAAAAACCCCCAAAGTGAAAAGAAAATTTTTCATCTTTTTCAGCTTGTAGTTTTTTATATGTAAAAATTACCAAACTCATAGAAACTCAAAAAATATAGTAACCTTTCGAAAGTAGAGATTTCAAGCTTTAAAAGCTTTTTTTTAAATTTAAATTTCATTCATTTTTGACGAAGATATTGTATATACAATTTTGAACTAAAAAAAAAAAAACGATTGAACTTTCTACCTAACCTAATAATGTATGATAAGATTTAACTGCTGAATTATTTTAGAAATGATCCTTCAGATCATATAAAAAATGCGATTTTTAAATTCTTGAATTTTTTAAAAACAGAATTTTGAATCAAGAATGACAAAAAATTCTTTCTCTAATCTTTTTGATACTCTATGTGCATATTTTTTTTAAATTTTTGTAAACATCCGTTTAGATGAAGCAGAGAAAAAAGCAGAGAAAAAAAATAAAAAAATCACATTTTTTCCCGATATCTCGAAATGGTGGTTTTTGTTGTGGGATGAAACTTTGTACAAACAAAATATTCTTTCATTTGAGTATGTTTTGCTTCCTGTAGCAATCAATTACGTACGGAGCCTGAAATCTCCTCTTTATGCTGCTACACATTTTACATTTAATTACGTGTAATACAGATGTATTAAAATTTTAATAACATATTAAATATTACATTAAAATCAAGGAATGGAAGTAAGGGCCATCACGCACAAAATTATATAAGCTACATAACCGTAGCATAAGGCCCTTAGACCAATGAGCAGCTTATATAAATCAATATGGCGTCTTTATGTTGGATGCTTATTGGTTCAGCAGCCTTAAGATGGTTATGCAGCTAATATAATTTTGTGTATAATGGCCTTAATTCGTTAGGAAACGTTTATATTGACCGTAACCGTAAAAATTGACCATTCCCTTCTTATCATCTAATGACAGGGGAATACTTGACTGCGATTAGTCAATATTTACAGATTACAGCACACGGCATACAGTTACAGCCAATATAAACGCTCCCTCACTTGTAGCGAAATTACAGTTACTTTTTTGGTAATTTTACTGGTAACTGCATTACCCTTTTTTCGATAATTGTAACAGTAACATAGTTATATTTTTTTTTCGTAAAGCGGGGTCTACAATAGAAGTCGTAGCAGTCGTAGAGTCTTTAAGTCGTAGGAAACTGACCAATTCCAATCGAGTATTCTCCTTAGATTTGATTGTAATTGGTTGGTTTCCTACGACTTTTATGTAGAGGACCCTTGTTATCAAGTAGAAAAGTACTGTTACTAGTTACCGATTTTTAAAAGTAACTTTTTGTTACTTTTTCGATACTTTTTTAAAATCGACGACCACCAATCACAGCGGACGGGTGTCTAGGGGCTTTCTAATTCACAAACTTGATGGAGAAATAAAGCAAGAAATTAAATTAACCAATCACAGTCGAGTATTCTTCTCAAATTCGACGGTGATTGGTCAATTTCTTACTCTTACTTTTTATACCAAATTCACTCGGCATATTGTGGATCAGGCCTAAAAATCTAACCGAGCATCAATCGATTGATCTTCCATCCGATTGTGATTGGTTGATTGTTACGTTTTACAACTTACTACATCTTACTACTACAATTATAGACAGCCCTCAATTTCTCGGCTCGTACGTTTTTTTAGAAACTTTTTTTGAAACTTTTTTTGCTAGATTCATTGATTTCATGCAAGAATGCGTCGAATAGTCCTACTTTTTATCAATATCAGACGTGAGATAGCTCAACTCAACAATTACCAAAACAAGTATAAATTGCACACTGTCTTTTATTTTAATTACGAAATAAATCAATTCTTTAAGAAACAATTTATAGCATACGACTATATAATCAAAATACATGCATTTCTTTACCATGGCGCATAGAACATGACGAAGTGATTTTTCTTGCCAACTTCGATGGAAAAGTTATCGTGGGTATACCGAAGAGTATGTGCATCTTCGTCATGGCCATGACTCGTTTGACTTAGTACAAACAGAAGAAGCAGGATCCGCCGCTTAGGCACGCAATCTATCATCATGAGCGACAGCATCGTTCGCGAAACGGACGAGAAATTGTTCAAGCCTGTTTGGACGATATCCCTCCCTATGGCCTATCCCTCCCGTCGGGAAGAGCAAGAAAGCGCGACGATAGCGATCTTGAAGATTTTTCAACGACGAGACGAAGGCGCCCGTAACCTTTTCCTGCCGGGGGCTCAAAAAATCGCCAATTGTGACAGCACCATACTAAGGGTGATCTCGAAAGAAGGACTGTGTCCGCGACTCACAGTACTCGCACAACTGCTCATAACTGCCGGAGATAGACCGGATAGACGGTACCTTGCCGCCGTCGTCGTCTATCACGTATCAGAGATCACGGAAGAGAGGATTCTTGCAGGACTGAGGCCGTTCGGGTCCGCTCGACTCCGAATTGCCTCCGAATCACTCCGTTTATCTCAACTTTCTCGCGCGAACAGATACACATTCCGCCCAATTCCGCCTACCAATACCAGTCGAAAAATCAGTGACGATAACCGCGGCAACTGAAATCACTGACCGTACCTCCACTATGACAAGTCGCGACTGTCGCGACTGTTGCGTGCGATTTCGTGATGAGCGATACTGTCGATATCGAAGAATTCATGATACTTGTTATCATCAGAGAGGAACCTGAGAGTGGATATCACTGCCTTTTTTAGAGTAATGTCCATCTTTTTATGGTTCTCTTCCATACTATTACCTTGATTAGACGAGAACGAATAATCAACTTTAAATGTTCATCCTTGTCTAACTCGACACGTAATAGTATAGAAGAGGACCACGAAAACGTGGACATTATCCTGCGAGGTTTGGTACACGAAAAAGGCCGAAATGACAATGGTCGACAATACGATTGGTTCTTATAGATATCTAAACGTATAAACCAATTGAAGACTTTTACAACAATTGCAAAGCTGCTTTCTCTGCTGAACGCAACCAATGGCTGCGCTCAGCAGACTCAACTGTTGAGTTTGCTGAACGCACACAGCCATTGACGTTCTCAGGTTTCTCTCTACTCACGTATCGCTCGCTAGCGACCTCTGTTGCCAACTTGGCTTGGAACTAGGTAAAAGTTACCAAATTTCTAGGAAATAATTTCGGTCTGTTCGCGTTACTTGCACTTTTTGCATTCAGTATCTTCGCTTTCTCTCCTTTCAACACTCGAATATATATCTATCTCATTTTAAGTTCAAAAATTTGGAGGGGGACTTTGAACAGACCTATCGTTTATGCGTGTGGTCTTCGCTCCATGCTCCATCTCCATGTAAAAAGTCTTTTTTTTACATCATGCTTCGCTCCACGAAGACTGACGAGAACAAGTCATACACCGGACCCGGAGTACCGGATTTTAGTCAACTATTTTATCGACCTTTTAGTGGATCGGAGTCGGAAATTAAGTTAGAGGCCTTTAAGAAGAAGAAAAAGTCTCCAGAGAAGAATATTTAATTGGTTATAGCATAGGTTATGTATAACCTGTATAACACTTGTTATCGCGGCGTTTTAGAATTTAGTTTAGTTTTTTCTCATTACTGCTCATTACATTTGACGTTGCCCCGGACTCGACGATTTACTGGTGTGCGGAACAGTGAACGATTATGAAGTTTCACTGCTATATCGAGATCCACGACAGAATATTATCTGTCTGCTCGCAGAGAAGATCACAGTCGATCTTGGCATTTACTAAGAAATCGCTCGAAGATGACGACGTGTACCTGTATCTGCAAACACGACAGAACAAGCAAGGCACCAAATACCAGGTAGCTGGCAGTAATACTAGGGTGTAATTGGCTGTTTTTCTAACAAGCTTATTCTACAATTGCATAATCGTAGTCGTAGGTGGCTATAATTGTAAATATAGATCAAACACAGAGTTGAATATTCTTTTTATATTCAATTATGATGGATCAACTCTTACATGCTCTATGCATTTATAAAATGGACTTTATAGGCTGTCTACGATAGGAATAATAGCTGTGTTCAACAGAAAAAATTAATCAGTGAGCACTAAATGATTCTTTAGTACATAAGAATTCAATACATAAAAAAATTAATCAATTCAAGTCCTTCATTTTCTTTCTTTCTATAAAATAAAATTCTTTATAAATTATGCATTATACAAAGGTCTGTATTCCAGGCTTTAATCCCATTTTACAATTTAGTAAGCGTAGTTGTAAATGGTTGTAATTGTAAAAATTGAACAGTCGAATATTCTCCTCATATTTAACTATAACTGGTCAATTCTCATGCCTGTTCTATAATAAGCCATAAGCATAGTTGTGATTGCACTTGTAAGAATTGACCAATCAGTCAAATATTCTCCTCATATTCGACATGGTCAATTCTTACATCTACAATCACAACTGTGCTTACAGCTATTGTAGAATAGACTTTAAGCTACTTAAAAACACAAATAAGACATAAGCAGTGAACGATTCGGTTAATTACAGTAGAGAACCTAAGGTTTATTACCTTATGTATTTTATTGTGATTGGCCAATTCGCTTATTGCTTAAGTTTTACCGCCTTAGTTTTTCTATGTGCTTCTGACTTTAAAGGATCTATACACATTTCTATAACAGTAATCTGTAAAAGATATACCATAAGAATTAGCCAATCACATTAAAAAAGTATCACAAATTTTTAGCTCCGATTTGCTAATTCTTACGATATGTCTAACGGTTACAGAAAGTGTGTAGCCCTTACACCTTTTTGTAAAAATGTAGATTTTTTTAGACTTTAATTAACTCTTATATCGTTTTAATAGTTCTCATACTTTCAACAGAATCTAAATTGCATATTTAATTTTATTTTGGAAGAATATATCTGATAATCATCTTTCTTCTTATTTTTAGATTGTTAATAATGTAAAGCAAGTGTTCACGAGATTTATCGCCGATGGCAAAGTTACAATAAGACTGACGCAACCTTGTCACGATCTGATAATTCAGAGTGATAATTCAATTCAATTGAAAAGCTTTCTTCATATATTGAATCAAATAATAAATAGACATTCTCAGCATGACGTTCTCGTAAACCACACAGTTATGCCTAATGTGTTTTTCAACTCGAGTCAATTCTCAATGGGAAAAGTCAAAGTTGTAGTGAAGAAAAAGTCCGAGTATCCAACCTTACAGGGTTTCCCAAGAACTACAGAGCAACTAATTTTAAGTGGACTGAGCAGAAAGTCATTTGATCGGCAAATTTTGCGTTTGCAAAGTCTAAGAATTCTAGATTTGTCGGACAATAACATCTTCTATTTGCCAAAGGAGCTAGGCACTTTACCTCATCTTCAACAACTTTTACTGTCGCAAAATAATCTTGGAAAATCACCTAAATCGAAGTGGACATGGTTAGAGCAAACTGCCATTAAGCATAATTTGCATTTCTTAGATATAAGTAGTAATTTAGTAAGTATCCAATTAAACTTAAAAATTATATTAATTAATAAAGCAGATTCTGTTGTCTATAAATTTATTATTGTTATAATAATTTTTGATTATTCACAGTTAACTGAATTGCCAACACAAATTAAAAACCTAAATGCCTTGATACATCTAAAGGTTAGCCAAAATGCATTGACGTATTTACCACATAATATTAGAACTTTACGAAATCTGAGAGTTTTGGATGTAGCAAGAAACCGTTTGTCGTATTTACCAGTGACCATCACATATCTGCGATTACAACTTTTAGACGTTACAGAGAATCCGTTTACGGAATCCTACAACATTAAAAATGATGTTTGTGGAAATTATAGTACAATGACAGTAAAGATGACAAGTCTTGTCGAATGGTCAGCTAAGAGTATTCTGAAGTCTAGGTTCTTGTTTTCTTTTTTTTTTTATTTATATCGCATAATTAAACACTTGAAATATGTGATGAATGGGTCTAGATAATTTTTATATCTTATATAGGATAACGTATGATGCAAGTATAATACCATATACATTGGTGGATTATTTGGATGAAGCAAAATGCTGCTACCTATGTAGAACTGCCTGTTTTGATCGTTACATAAAGAAGCTCATATATGTACCTCTACCATGTGCCGAGATAAAAAAGTCGATGTGTACAGCTATTATATTTGAAGCTTATTTCTGTTCGTTACTCTGTGCTAACAATATCCTCTGTAAGTCAAAATAAAACACTTTAACACATATAATTTTCTGTTTTAAAACATGATATATTTAAATTTATATTTTTTATTTAATTATTTTTTATTTATATTTATTATGTATTGTATTTACTACTAATAAATTGATATAAACATTATTAATCGATACTCAAACATAAATAGAACGATATAATTGTATATTTAATCACCTTTGTGTATATCTCTTTATATGTCATTTTATCTTAAATTATTAATTATATATAATACATTTTGCATTTATAAATATGACAGTTTGTTTTTAAAGCTCTGAGTAATAATTTGTATAACCTTATATTTCAAAATGAAAATATAAGATAATAGTTTATATTTATAGCGAAATTGTAACAATAGTCTTTTCTAAAAGATAGATATATAAAATATTTTGTAAAATCATGAAAAGAAATAAATTCTACTATTCAACACAAGAAAAGACTTTTTTTTTAAATACAGGATCAAGGATAATGATTTCTCTTATACAGAATTTACAATAGGAATGCGTTCGGAGAAATGCCATTCGTGCTACATTGCATTATTTAGCGCTACAAGCTATTTGCGGAGTTGCAGATAGCGCTAACAAACATTACGTCACTAAGGACCATGGCACACAAAAAAACTTAAGCAGTAAAATGTAAGTAGTAAGCGAATTGATCAATCGCGGTAGAGTCCGTAAGGCCATAATGTAAGCAGTAGCCAATCCATGTTTATTTCCTTATTGCTTACGTCTTACTGTCTTAAGTTTTTTGTATGCTATGGCCTTTATACACAAAAAAACTTACAACAATAAGACCATAGAGTTATAGAATAGACGGAGTGTTCATACGAGAGTAGAGTTCCTCTAATAAGAGTTCCATTATATTCAGGAAACGAAAGTGATAGTAAGACAGTAAAATAGCTTGTTATAGCTTGTTTTTTCACTTTGGCCGGTATTCATAGGGTCATGGCACATAAAAAACTTAAGGCAGTAAGACGTAAGTAGTAAGGAAATCAATATGTTGGATTGGCTACTGCTTTTGTTGGCTGTGTTCCAAAACTGACTGCTACTACTGAAAATCTGTAGTGAATGTAATGTAAACTGTAGTATTTTTAGTGCTGGCAGTAATTTTGTTAGTTCAGTGGTTAGTTAATTTGCTTACTGCTTACAATATTACTGCTTAAGTTTTTTTGCGTGTTATGGCCTTGAGTTATAAAACAGTTCTTGTGCGTTACTAAACACATAATACTTAAATCACTATTTTAACTAATAATAAGACACTATCTTAAGATTATAAGTCAGTCTTTCTGCTACGGCCTATACTCGATTCTTATATTTGAGACTGTCAAGTACAGTCTAAGGATATCTTGAGTCAATCAGAAGGCTGTATTAGCATCTTAAGACATTTTTGAAATAAGAACGGATTATGAATATCGCTTTTTATCTCATACTCATGTTCCCTATTAATGACGGACGTCGTAAGCGCACATGAGTGCAAGAGTACAGGTATCCTAACTCTTACTAGAGAAACTCTATACTAGAGAAGCTGAGGACTTAATAGAAAGAGAGAGAAATAGTCGTGGAGTAGTTCTCTCCTTTTCTAGTAGTGAATTAATTGGTGGCATAGACTTAAGCCCGATGTCCACGATGCTAGGAATCGGTCCGAGATCTCGGACAGAGAAAAAATTAACAAATCACATTTGAACAATTTGATCACATGACCATTGCGATTGGTCAATTCTTTCTTCATCCGGAGTCCCGGACCGATTTCTAGTATCGTAGACACAAGACTTTTACAGCCACAAACCTATAGTGACACTTACTAGTGAAATATCTTCATGTGATATCAGAAAGTAATATTTTGATATTAATTAAAGATAATTATTGTTTTGGTGTTTGCTCTTCTTCTTTGTTTACTTAACCGTACGTATTCTAAGATAGATTCTTCATATAAAAATTCTGAGAAATTTCCTAAAGTTATAAAATTATATAGAATTTTAAACAATTCTGAAATTTACATAAAAATTTTGGAAAATTATATGAAAAATTTTCATCAGAATTATAACATTTTTCTCAGAATTGTTCATATAATTTTTCAGAATTTTTATATAAATTTCAGAATTTTTCATATAATTTTTCAGAATTTTTATATAAAAATTTCAGAATTTCTGTATAATACAATCTACTTTAATATTGTTCATCAGGAGACACGGTAGTGTCTCGACGCTAAGCCAAGCGCAATGACACTATCGTGGTTCGTTTACGCAAGACCGCGAGTTATACAACTTACAACTTACTTCTATATTCAAATTAAATCAGTGTACTAACGGCTTTATATACACTCATGCGCTCTAGTCAAATTCGCCGTAAAATACGTTTTACATACGCTCTAAGAACACGTAATATTCTTTTTAAAATACACGGTTTAAAATTCGTTTTCAATTCTTTTTACTCACTTTGGCTATGTTCCAAATTTACTGCCAGTGTTGAAAATGCTACAGTTTATGTTACGTGCATTATAGATTTTTAGTACAGTCAATTTTGGAACATAGCCCTTCTGTCTTTTTTATCAGTGGCTAATGTTTCTATCATATCATTATCTAGATGAATATACCAAAATAAACTAACGCGGCCTGATATTTTATATGGGAGTTTGCCACGCAGATATAGTTTTGACGACGATTACGGCAATAAACTTCTAGTTTTTATAGAAAAACGATGCGAACAAGAAATGAACACAAGAACAAAGAAGTCTCCTTGTAATAATACATGAAAAATAATTTGCAGTGTACAATTTTTCAATATTTTTGATATATTAAACATATTCAAAAAATTATAAATACTCTTTATATATAAAATAAGAGCATTTAAGAGAATTGCAAGGAAAAATTCAAAATTTAGGTTCTTTTATATTTTTCCATGATTTTTCCATAACTAATTTAAATTTCCATGACTTTACCAGGTTTTCCAGGTCTACGGCAACTTTAGTTATTACAAAAAATAGATTACTGATAATTGTATAATATAGTTAGTTTTCGCGAATCATTATATGCGTAGAATATCCTGCTACTATACATATAACAATGTCCAAACATAACATAAAAGATTTTTGTTTAATATATTTTTTTCAACAGCTTTGTATTTACCTTTATTTTTATTCATATTTATTGTTTTTTTTCTAGACAAATATACCTGCAATTTTATATCCCATAATAACACTATATACTCTCACATACACAGGGTGCCATTTCTCTGATCTTCGGCCAGAGATTGACTATTTCGCTATTTGAAGGAATCTCCAACTTTATAGAAAATATTTCCAATTAACAACGAGAATTTTATTGGATCGTACATGTAAATACACAACTGATAAAAAATAAAGCTCATAACAGTCGAAGAAGAATTTTTGTAGTGCTTAAATAATTCTATGTGAATTTATATACTGTATATGTAATTATTTTAACTATGCGACGAGGTAATATTTTTCGCAATAAATAAATTTATTCACAAATTTCCAATTAAGATTTCTTTAATAGAGGTCTATTGAGCATTAAATTTAATTGTGATATTAATATATATTTGCTAAAATCCGTATTTTTCGAGGGGGTGTTTTATTCCCTAAATTTTGAGATATACACTGATAAAAAAAATATGGATCTAATATTTTTTACATTCTACAACACATCCAAAGCCCATCAAAATCGGTGAGGGACGGCTCCAACGGTTCCCTTGCAAGTCCAAAAAATTAATTCAGCGCGCAGTTCCTCAACCCTTTTTTTGTATGTTCTCTCTCTCTCTCTCTCTCTCGGTGTGTGTGTGTGTGTGTGTGTGTGCGCGCGCGCGCGCGCGCGTGTGCGTGTGAGAGAAAGAAAATATTACAAGAGAGATAATAATTTCGTGGTAACAATTGTGAATGATAATCAATCTTTGACAGAAGGACTATATCGATCTCCAGCCGAACGCTAGTCAAAAAACGGCAACCATAATATATACGTTGATTTCCTATATTGTAAGAAATTAAGACTAACTTATTTCGATATTATTTTTTACATATCCAACTCTAATATATTTCGAATATATTATTTCTTAATACACGTAGGAAACGACATCTGCTAATTTAGACTGTTTAAATAATAATAGATTATATACTGTTGTCTTTCTTCTTTACAAAATTAAAGGAAGCGTCATCAGTCGCTCCAAGAAAATGCTCTTGTGGTGTCACTTTTATCTTCTTACCAATTCGTGGTATAGAAAAATCTATATTTTTATATTGTTTTTCATCTATTCCCATTTGTAAAGGGTGAACACAGATATCAGGATCTTCATGAAGAGGAACTGATTCCACATGGCATTTATCACTGTCCGTACATCCATTGAATGCGTTTTCATGCTGATGTAAGGTGAAAAATGTTTTTTTTTTACGTTCAGACTACTGTCTTTGAATATACGTATCAAATGTATAACGTAGCGTTCATAACATAATGTTATAATAAAATTGTTTGTTACTTATGCTTACCATCGTTTCTAGTTCGTCTTTTTTCCTTATTGGGTTTTCATTCATAATTAAATCCTGTAGTGAAATCTTATTGGTTTTCAAAAGACCCATGATTGCAGCATTTCTATATAATTTATCTTTCTGTTTAATACATTTATCGTTTAAATTATTAGCTCTAGGTTGATTTACTTTTATATTATCATATTTGGAAGAATTTTGAGATATGTCTTTCTCGCATTGCATCTCTTTAAGATTTCTTAAGAAACTTTCTTCCCAATGTTTATTTGAAAGATCACGTCCACCATTTACCTGTGTTATATTAATTTAATTTTTTTAGCTACATCAATTAATTTAAAAAAATTAATTTATTTTTATTTAGCTTTTTTATACTGTTCAAATGTGCAGTTGATGTTTAAACAACGTAAAGTTTTTAAATTTTTCCTCAAATATATATTTTTTAATATAGAAATTAATTTTACCTTAAAATCCTAACTTAACTAAACTTTATTTACGATTAAAATAAAAAATGTATTTTTGTTAATGTCTTAATTACCTTTTTAATATATAAGAATATCTGCTTACCTCTTTAACGGCAACAGAAATTCCATGTTTGTCGAAAGTAGGTTTTACTCTACTACATATATTTACATCCATGTTATCACTCTCTGATGAACCAAAGCCTTCTAGTAACTGAAATTAAATGAGCGAATAATTATGAATTACAAATTAATATAAAAAAACTAATAAGTTTTTACAAACTCCTTTAATATATATATTAAAATAATTAATAAAACCGTAAAATATGCGAATAATTGTTTATAAATAATATACAGAATCTTCTAAAAGTTCAGAAAAATTAAAATATTTCGAAAATGACTAAATTAAAGCGAAAAATGTATAAACAAAGTTGTAGAGCTAAAAAAATGTACCTGCTGATGATAAAGGTTTGACTTTAAATAAAGTCTTCAAGATCAAGATGAAGATTAAAATTAAATTTTTCGACTAGAAATTTCCATTTTATATTGCATGTTCTTTTATTACCTTTTTGAAATCTTTTGTTCATAATCTTGACAACATACATCAAAGTCAAAACCATTGGAAGTTGTTTCTCCTATTTTCATTTTTGTATTAAAACTGAAAATAAGAACAATCTCCTTGGGTAATCCTAATGCTGACAATACTGTAATTTTCAAACTTAGTAACATGAGAGGTACTTAACGGAAAGATATTTTAAAATACTTTGGAGATTTTCACGAGTGTTTTCTTCAGAGATGCCAAAGGGTGTAATGCCATTAGCAACCCTGATAGCTACCTGTCTGTGTTGTTGTTGCGATGTTGCCGAAAATAAAGCGCATTAGTTTTCAGCAAATTTAGAACAAGGTATATAAGTAATTTGCCTGTGGTATATCACGTGAATTCAACATGTTTTGCTACTAACGTGCCATGTATTTGCTGTCAATGATTTATGAAAATGAATGATAAATCAAAAAGTTTTCCATAAATGGTAGACACTTTGCTGATAAACAAAATGAGCTACAATTGTTCTCCATTTAAGTTTATTGTTCTCCATTTGCTCTGAATCTGCTGACACGAAATGTTTCAAATCTGCTCTCGTGTTATTGAATACGTATGATTATATATTACGTTTTCAGCAACTAGTCGAAAATTCGTGGTCTCAGCATTAAATTACATGATTTTGCGAAACATGCTTGACTAACAGGGAGAATGGGATCACGACATGGCAATAAAATCCTTTGACATTTGAGGAAAAATATTTTATTATGAAAAGTTCTGGAAATAAACTACAAGAATACGCAATAAAAAAAGAGTATTCTACTGAAAAAATTGAACTTGATCTTTATATTGATCTTGCAAACTTTATTCAAACTCTTATCATTATTAGGTATATTTTTTTAGTCCTACAATTTTGCTTCTCGCATATTTTTCGCTATATTTTATCATTTTCAATATATTTCTGGACTTTTAGAGTACACTGCATATATGAAATCAAATATTACTTTTCATGTATGCATTAACATACAATGACTGCAAAAATATATTTGTACAGGTGAGATACCTTTAAAAAAAGGATTTCTTTTTAGAAAGTAAAGTTTAGTAACTAATTAGCAATTTATTAACAAAGAATAAAATTTCTCAAAATTATTTTACTTAAAAAGATGTATAATAATTAAAGTACATGATCTTAATAACAAGTAAAATGAAACATTTACTATATATACTGACATGTAGATTTCGTGGTTTCTTCACTGGCCTTTCATTCATTTTTTTATCTTTCGCAGCCTGACTTAGTTCTTGCAATAGATAGAACTTGGCATTGCTGTCTAAGACAGGAAGTGCCGTTGCCTTCTTAATATCATTACGCAAATCCATTTTTGAAAAACTTGAAGAACACACTAGAAAGATAATAGATCTAGTCAAGCTAATTTTGCTAGATAATTTGTGTCGAGAGTGTTTCTTTAAAAATGCCAATTTTTGACCTAGTTGAATGTTGCTCAATTTCTATAATATTAGATTGGAAGAAAATATTTAAAATTTTTATGTATTTTACTGCAACAAATTGTTTAAATGGCAGCCTCATTATGTAACTCTCAAAAACATTTGAAAAATCAATGCCTTTTGTCTCAAGGAGACATTGCTGAATCTATTGTATAGCATATTCAACGTATAGAATTATTTAATTTTAAGAGATCTCTCAGCTCATTTAGTTTATCACAAATTTTCAAAAACGCCCTGTATATTTTTCAAAATAAAGTTTTAAAAAATAGAAACAGAAATACATGTTTCACAATTCATCGACTATCAAATTTTCAATATTAAATTTCTCTTCATCGACTCTTGTTCTTATGTACACATAAAAAAAAACTCCAAACAAGACCGAAATATGTTTACAAGTAAAACCGTCAGCACACAACGTTTGTTTTCTTGCTGAATTAGATTCTTGCTACATATTGGCTGCCATGCTGGCATTTGTTATGGTCAATGAATGGTGGCAAAATTCTAATCCAGTTAGCAATCCAGCGGAAAAACAAGTGCCGCTCTTAAGCCGCTGGCTTAAGAGTTGACTAAACAGTTGAATGAATTAATTAATATCATTTGAACTAAATGAATTTACAAGTAATACTTGGGTGCGAATTTGCGACCAGGTATTCTTTACAGATGCTCAAAGGGGACGTGTCCCTTATAAGGGAGATAATATGTACTATATAAATAATTGTATTACAATTTTTTGGATCAAGCTAATTTATTTTCAATATTGTTATTTCAATAATACTAGAAGAAGCATTTAATTTCATCAGTCTTACCTTTGTTCGACTACAAAAACAGAAAACTAAATTGAGAAGCTTATCGACTTGCTCACGCATTGATCAAAGTCACATTTTTATGTATTTGATCGTATATCTTTAATTTTACGCGTCCTCTCTTTTATAAGTTTATTACATCCTCGCAAATTAACTTTGTCTATTGATATCGGTAATTGTTCATTAATTGTTCAGATTAGCACGTCACTTCAAAAATCGATGGAATTACGACTCATTCGACGCGTTTATGTCCGAAACGAACGGATTTGATCGAGAAAAGCGTCACTCTGTCCCGTGAACTGAGATAACGAGATATTAGTCGTTAACGATTATTCAGGTTAGGAAATCTGTCACAGCACACAAATTACCAAAATTACTGCGAACTACGAACTGTCGCGAGTTGAGAGTTGCGAGTTGCGAACATGCGCATGCGATCACCTTTTCATACTCTTTATTGCGTCGCACACGGCACATTGGATCATGCAGGGAGAATCCAGCATACGGCCATAAAGCGGGGAGCACAGACTCCTGCTCTCCTGCATAACGCATAACACGTAAAGGTAAATTTTCACGAGCTCCTCTAACCGGCTATTTTAGCGACAAAAAGGATCACGTGATCAAAATGGACATTTGATATTCGTCAATTTTGGCCACGTGATTCTTTCTGTCGCTGAAACAGCCGGTTTGAGCAGCCCGTGAAAATTTACCTTAATGCATAAGAATATGTACCAATCGAAGTTCTCCGTTTCTTTCCCTTCCATGTAATAGAGAACTCTGGTTGGTTCAATTTCTTATGCCTCATGTGTTA